GGAAACATATGGCAAAGTGAGAATACAATTCTTTAAAGACTATAAAGGTTAATACTACCTGTCATAATGTGCATCCATTATTCTATTTGAATTTTGGTACCAGGACTAGAAGTTAATCCTTTTTGTAGATCTGTGGGTTCAAAAATGACAGAATTAAAAAATGGAGTGCTAGGATTAGAATTTTAGGTCATGAACTTGTAGCCTCATGTTCTTTTGGCTCCCTTATGATTAATTCTTGGTCTGTTTACATGTTAGTATTTGTCTAATATTCCACAAAATGTTTAGTTCCTGCTGCTTTGTGTGAATAATAAATTGTTGCCTTATCCATTTTCATTTAGAGGTTACCTCAGGTGGAAAAGAATTTGTTATTCAGAAGACAGCTAAGCTGATAATATTTTTATATTACAGTGATCCTCAAAACTTGTATGAAGTTACCATTTTCATTTCTGAAATAGTTTGACCATGTAATTGTGATTCAGTTCAGTTCAGTTCAGTTGCTCAGTCGTGTCCGACTCTTTGCGACCCCATGAATTGCAGCACGCCAGGCCTCCTTGTCCATCACCAACTCCTGGAATTTACTCAAACTCATGTCCATCGAGTCGGTGATGCCATCCAGCCATCTGATCCTCTGTCGTCCCCTTGTCTTCCTGCCCCCAATCCCTCCCAGCATCAGGGTCTTTTTCCAGTGAGTCAACTCTTGCATGAGGTGGCCAAACTACTGGAGTTTCAGCTTCAGCATCAGTCCTTCCAGTGAACACCCAGGTAGTTGTGATAAGAGTCCCTTATTTGAGGAATATAAAGAATACTGATGAAGATTTTTGGTTCTGTGAGAGAGATAAATTAAAATTGGTGAAAGTGTTTACCATCCTTGTAGGAATGCCAAAATAGCATGTATAATAGAAATGAAGACAAGTCATAGTCTAGCTACCATGAAGTCCTTAATGCCCAGTTTTGCTTTATGTTATGAATTTGTTTAGAAAGAAAGGTTTGATGCATAAATAATGCTGTTGTTTAAAATTACACTATCTTAGACAAAATCTAGTTGCAGTTTGAGAACCTTAGAAATTATCTTGAATTCTGTATAGTAGTAGACTTATTATTTAATTTGTGAAACCAAGTTAGGTTGGTTTGTAAGACCTTCAGAGGACTGTACCAACTGCAGCTCTAGAAATTCTTTTTCTAGCTCTAGATCTTTTATTACTGTTAATTCTTTTATTGTTATTTAGTTGCTAAATCTCTTTAAAATGCAACACACACACCAGTGAGCTTACATCTTAGAGTATTATAGGCTCCTGAGAAATGCCTTAGGTATGTAACTATCTTATTTTTCATATTGAGATGTGGAAAAAAGTTTATTTCCAATTTAAAGAACTATTATTATAATTCCCTTTATAATAATCAAGCTGCAAGAAATATAAATGAAGATATGTTCAGTAAAGACTTCATTATTTTTTAGCATGTTTAGTGACAGATTATAGACCATTAAAAAAATTTTTTTTTAAGTTGTAACCGTTTCCAGCCAAGTCCATTTCTTATCTTGATAGTTGTGTATAGCTTTTGTTGTTTATAGAAATGTGTCAAATGTGAAGGTGACATAACCATTCATTTTTTTAAGTTTATAGAGTTTTTTTAAAAGATTTTACTTTTGTTGAATAGTTTTGCATTCACAGCACTGCTAAGAGGAAGGTGCAAATATTTCTCATATACACTCTGCCCCAACTCATGCATAGCTCCCCCGTTTTCAACACCTCCCACCACAGTGATATATTTGTTACAATTTGTTAAAATTGATGAACCTGCAGGGAAAGGTCATAATTACCCCAAATCCATGATTTTACCTCATGGTTCTCTGAATATAGTACATTTTATAGCCGTTGACAGATGTTTGCCATTTATTCATCATTATAACATGATACAGAGTAGTTTTACTGCCCTAAAAATCTTCTGTGCTCCATTTTTATATCCCTCTTCTCCCCTCTACCCCGGGCAGCTTTTTTGTGGTTGGTTTTCAGTCACTAAGTGCTGTCCAGCTCTTTACAAACACATGGACTGTGGCAAGTCCGGCTCCTCTGCCCTCCACTGTCTCCTGGAGTTTGCTCAAATCCATGTTCATTGAGTTGGTGATACTGTCTAACCATCTCATCATTGGCTGCCCTCTTGTTTTGCCTTCAGTCTTTCCCAGCTTCAGGGTCTTTTCTTACGAATTGGCTCTTGGTATCAGGTGGCCAAAGTATTGGAGCTTCAGCATCAGTCCTTCTGATGAATATTCAGGGTTGATTTTCTTTAGGATTGACTGGTTTGATCTCCTTGCAGTCCAAGGGACTTCTCAAGAGTCTTCTCCAGCACTGCAATTAGAAAATGTTCATTCTTTGGCACTTACAGCATTCTTTATGGTCCAACTCTCACATCCACACATGACTACTGGAAAAGCCGTAGCTTTGACTATATGGACCTTTGTTGGCAAAGTAATGTCTCTGCTTTTTAATACACTGTGTTTGTCATAGCTTTTCTTCCAAGGGGAAAGTGACTTAATTTCATGGCTGTAGTCACTGTTCTCTGTGATTTTGGAGCCCAAGAAAATAAAATCTGTCATTGCTTCCACTTTTTCCCCTTCTATTTGCCATGAAGTGATAGGACCAGATCTTAGTTTTTTTCATGTTTAGTTTCAAGCCAGCTGTTTATCTTTGTATTATCTCCATAGTTTTACCTTTTCTTTAGTTGGAGTCATACTGTAGGTAGCCTTTTCAGATTGGCTTCTTTCACTTAGTAATGTGCACTTAAGGTTTCTTGGTGTCTGTTCATGGATTAATACCTCTTTTTTTTTTTAATTAGAGGATAATTGCTTTATAATGTTGGGTTGGTTTCTGCCATATATCAGCATGAATCAACTATAGGTATACACACATCCCCTCCCTCTTGAACCTCCCTCCCCCCTTCCACCCTGTGCCACCCTCTAGGTTCTCAATGAGTACTGGCTTGAGTGCCCTGCACTATACAGCAAATTTCCACTGGCTATCTATTTTATATATGATACCTCCTTTCTTTTTAGTACTGAGTAACATTGTCTGAATATACCAATTTATCCGTTTACTATTGTGCCCAAGTTTTGGCTACTACAAATAAAGCCATAAAGCCATAAAAATATCCATGTGCACTCTTTTGTGTGGGCATAAGTTTTCAACTCTAGGTAAACACCAAGGAGGGCAATTCCTGGAATGTATGGTAAGAATGTATTTAGTTTTGCTTGAAGCTGTCACACTGTCTTCCAAAGCGGCCATATATTTTGGGTTCCCCCAAGCAATGAGTAAGAATGCCTGTAGCTCTACATAGTACTCACCTGTGGTTGCTGCTGTCAGTTTTCCAAATCTTGGTCATTCTGATAGACGTTTAGTGATTTCTTGTTTTAATTTGCATCTCCCTGATGTCACGTGATCTGCAGCATTTTCATTTAACTATCTGCCATCCATATTTCTTCTTTGGTGAGTTGTTAAAATCTTTGGCCCACTTTTTTAATCCGACCACTTGTTTTCTTTTGTTGAGTTTTAAGAGTTCTTCATGTATTTTGGCTAACATTCTATATCATGGGTCTTTTACAAGTATTTTCTTCCAGTCTGTGACTTGCTTTCTCATTCTCTTCACACTGTCTTTCACAGAGAGAAGTTTTTAATTGTAATGAAGTCCAGTTTATCAATGATTTCTTTCATGGATTGTGCCTTTGGTGTTGTATCTAGAAACCTGTCATCATACCCAAGGTCATTTAGATTTTCTACTATATTATCTGATAGGAGTTTTGTATTTTGTGATTTACATTTAGGTCTGTGATTCATTTTGAATTATTTTTTTTGTAGAGGATGTAAGGTCTTTGTCTACATGTATTTGTTTGCATCTGCATGTCCAGTTAGTCCAGCAATACTTGCTGAAATGACTGTTTGCTCCATTTTATTGCCTCTGCTTCTCAGTCAGGGATCTGTTGACTGTATTTCTGTGATCTCTTTCTGGAATCTGTTGTATTTCACTGACCTATTTATTTGCTATTTTGCACACTATCTTGATTACTGAGATTGCTCTGCATCTATAGGTCAAGTTGGTAAGTACTGACATCTTGACAATATTGAATCTTCTTACCCTCATTGGAGTATCTATTTATTTAGTTCTTCTTTGATCTTGTTCATCAGAGTTTTGTAGTTTTCCTCATACAGATCTTATACATATTTTCTTAGATTTATATCAACTTTATTTGGGGGGGGGTGCTAATATAAATGATAAGCTTATATTATGACATGAGTTTGAACAAGCTCCAGGAGTTGGTGGTGGACAGGGAAGCCTGGCTTGCTGCAGTCCATGGGGTCACAGAGTCAGACACGACTGAGTGACTGAACTGAACAGGATGTAAATGATTATTGTCCGACTCTTTGAGACCCCATGGACTGTAGCCCACCAGGCTCCTCAGTCCCTGGAATTTTCCAGGCAGGAATACTGGAGTGGGTTGCCATTTCCTTCTCCAGAGATCAAACCCACATCTCCTGCATCTGCTGCATTGGTAGGTGGATTCTTTACCACTGTGCTGCCTGGAAAGCCCAATGTAAATGATACTGTGTTTTTAATTTCAAGTTTTACTTATTAATTGCTTGCATATAAAAAAGAGATTGACTTTTTATTTGAACCTTGTTTCCTCCTTGCTATAATTGCTTATTAATTCCAGGAGGTTTTTTTTGTCCATTTTAAAATATTTTCTACATAAATGATTATGTCACCTTTGACTAAAGCATGTATTATTTCTTCCCAGTCTGTTTATTATTTATTTCCTTTTCCTTGTTTTATTGCATAAGCTTTACTTTTTTTTTTTTTTTAAGGGGAAAGCAAGTTTATTTAGAGAGATACACATCCTGTAGGTAGAAGGTAGTGTTTCCCAGAAGGTGAGACTGGCCCATTACTATTCTTTATCCTGTTTTCTATGAGATCTGTCTCTTAAAATTTTCTCTATTTTGTTTGTTTTTCAGCTCACCAAAGCTCATCGTCAAGGTCACATGGTGAAAGTAGATTGGCTGGACAGATTGACATTTAGAGAAATAGAAATGATAAATGAGGTGGGTTGTATCCCTCTTTTATCTTTGAAAATTTTTTGTCCAGAGTTTTAAATGAAAAATTGTTTTTAAGAATTATTTATTGTCATGTATCTTTCCTATGTGAGATATTGAGGATAACTTCTAGTTGTGAGTTCTGTGCTAATAAGAGGAAAACTTGAGATATCTACCTTTCTTATATTTTAGTGTTCTTCTGAACCCTGAAATAAGTGGTAGATATCTCTGACTCAGATGGTAAAGAATCCTTCCACAGTGCAGGAGACCTGGGTTCAGTGCCTGGGTTGGGAACTTATCTTGGAGAGAGTAATGCCTACCTACTTCAATATTCTTGCCTGGAGAATTCCATGGACAGGAGCCTAGTGGGCCACAGTCAATGGGATCGCAAAGAGTCGGATACAGCTAAGTGACTAACACTTCCCTTTGACTACTTTGCATTGTAAATATCATATAAGTGAAGCCCGTGTTAAGTTTGATACCTCACTTGTAGATTCTTTCTTTCTCCATATGGCAGTTTATGTTGAAGTTGGATATGTCTGTCAACATAATATCAACACAACATCTTTACTTCAGTTACCTTAAGTCATCGTTAGCAGTTCCTCTCCCCGGTTAAGATGCTCCTTCTCTTAGGCAGTACATGTAGGACTGTGAGCACTTAATGGAGTTACGTGGTTCAGATAATTTGTGTACTTCCTGATCTTGTGTATTGGTCCTGAATTGGTTTCATTAAGACATGACTTTAGTGAAACTCTTTACAAAATTTTCTGTTCATTAGCACTGATAAACTAGATGTTTGGCCTAGAGATCAGAAATAGCAATTGTATATTAATCACATTACAAGAGAGGGATAACAATTTTGTGGTATATGTAGTTAATAGTGATCAGCACATGGCACAACTGACTTAATTTTTGTTCTCTGAACACTTTTTAGCAGGAGGAAGAGAGAAACTGGTCATTTTATAGTGAACACTTAGAAAAGTTGAATTTTAGCATTGTGCATTTTTAAAAAATTAATTAGTAGTATCTAATAACAGTTATATTTAGTATGAACACTGGGTATCTTTTCTAAACTTATTCATGATGTATTCTCATATACTGAAACTGGAAAAAAAATTTACTGTTTTGAATTTTTATAGTTGTCACATTCCAAAAACAGTTTAATAGAAATGCTATTCATCACTTACTTACCCCTGGTTTTAGAAAATGGAACGTTAGTGCATACTTTGCCCAGCCTTTTTCTCACTCTATCTACACTCTTTAAAAGATAAGAGGCTAACAGGCCATTACCATTATCATAATGGGCTTATAATATGCTTCATAAAGCTGAACAGTTTTAAGTGACCTTAGATCCTTGTGATTATATAACTATAGATTTAAAGCCATTTTTCAAACTGATTTGGGTTAGAACTAATCACCCTTTAAGTTTCTTTTTTTTTGCTTCATTATTAACATAATATTTGCTTTCTTAAGGGAATACAGTTATACACACAGCCAACATTTTAAATGTTGGGGAAGAATAACTGTTCCCCAGTGTATTTAAAGTGTATTGATAAAAATTTATAAATGATTGCAAGTTATTTTAAGACCATTTATAAATTGTCAAAAACTTGTAAATGTTGTATCTGTTAAGCTCAAATGACCTCTGTCCTTAGTTACATACTTTGTTTTACCTTTGTTTTTGTTATATTAACTTTTATATTTGGATTAGTCCATAGGGTTTAAGAGTGAAATGTTCTTTGCTTAAATTTTTTAGAAATACAAAAATCTTATTTTTTTTGAGATAAAATAATTTTCCTGCAAATGTATACTAAATACCTTTACAGTGTTATGTAATAAAATTCATACTACTGAAGAAACCAAAAATTTCATTAAGTTTGAGGAAGGAGTTACAAATGAGTAGTAGGCACTTCTGGATAAGGCAGTAGTGAAATAATAGTAGTATATAAAAAATAGTAACTTAAAATAATGACATAAACATTTGCTACATTTTAACTCGTATTTGATGAATTCCATGTATTACTGAATTGGGAATAAGATACAAACTGGTGTTGAAGAAAATCATTTTTCATAATTTTTTTCTTTTTTAGAGTGAAAAACGAAGTTCTAATTTCATGTACTTGATGGTTGAGTTTCGATGTGTCAAGTGTGATGATAAGGAATATGGTATTGTTTATTATGAAAAGGTATTTTCCTTGGAACTGTTTATGGTCTCTAAGGTAGAGGGGAGGGGAAACATTACAAAAAATTACTATTGTTCCTGCTGGGATGAATTATTTGGCTACAGGATGGCAGTAGACAGCTGTCAGCAGCAGCTGTTTATATATATACAAATCAAATCATTTAGCTAGAACAAGATTACAAAAGCTGATCATTCATGTAATGCATTTCTGGGTTACAGAATTCAATAAATATGCAAGAGATTAAAAACTTTTTGATTAATTGTTTTCTAAACTGGCAAGTAGGACATTAAAGCAATAGCTTCATTAATAATTAGTATCCACTTGAAAAGTAAAAAGAGGGTATCATATTTTTTATGTGTTAGTATATTGAATGTTAAGGGTATGTTTGTATATAAGTATGTATATAATGTGTTGAAACTGTATATGTGACCCTAAACATAAGTATGCTATGAAAGACCTTTTAAATGTTCATTTATTTATAAAGTACATGCAAAATTAAGAAAACCATGTTATCAGTAGTCTGAGTGGTAAAAGTATGCAGTTATGAATTTGCTGTGGTTTGTTCATTACCAAAAGAAAGTGGTTGTGTGTTTGATATCTAGCTACTTGAAAAATATCTATGTTTTAAATGCTTATTGATGGGTCTTCATTTCAGTACTACAGAAATAATAGTATGTGGAGTTCAAAAGCACATAAACTAGACACCTTCTGTTATTGTGAAAGTACTGAGACAAGTGCTTATGAGGATGGTGTCAGTCAGAATCAGTGTAAGTGAGGACAGACTTGATACATGGCTTAATAGAATAATATTTCTTCCATTGTAGAGCTAAGTTGTTCGTAAGAAGTAGTGCTTTGAAATTGCATTTACATGTTAGTGTTATTTGTTAAAGTTGTCAACAAGTGATTTTTTTAAAAAGACATGTTTTATAGCTGTTAAATTACTATTTGAAAGATGTTTTCATAATGAAGGTTTAGGATTTGCATAGTTAGTTTGTGATCATTTTTCTGGTACTTTGCAAGGTTATATATATATATATATTTTTTTTTCCTCTTTATCTTTTACCCCTTCCTTTAGAAAAAAGGTTAGAAAAAATTAACTTGTTTCAGCTTTTTATTTTATAAATTATATTCTCTGGGGGAGGGAAAAAAGATAGGGAGGTAAACTATTTAACACTGTTTATTCATTAGAAAAGCTGTTAAAAAGAAAGGGTAATAATGTATGTGAGTGAAATTGTTTTGTTACCAATACATTTTAATAAAATCATGTTTTTAATTTTTACTATATGTAATTTCATTAAAAGCAATATTTCCCACCCATTTGGAGTTTATATTGCAAAAGCATGCTAATGGTGATGATATTTTCAAACACTGGAGATGTGAAGGATCTTTTGAAAGATAGCTTTGATAATAGATGAAATAATAACAGAATAGAAATTAGAAGAATTTCAAGTATTTTTGAAAAGGTTCTTGACCCCTTTCTAACTGCTTCTTGAAAATTGCCCATAAATTAGTGCCTGTCTACCTTTCCTGTCATATTTCCACTTAGTATAAAGATTGCTGGGCCAGTGCATTGAGTCTAATGGAAATAGACTTTCTTGTCACCTGTCTTCTGTGACAGATAGCCTTAGTGAAGATTACTTGTCACAGTTGGGTTGATAAATGTGTTTTTTGGTGTTGTGACTGAGAACCAGCCTGTTAAACAACAGCTGTGGGAATTTGTGGTTTTCTCTAAGACTCAATTACTGAACCTAGGGTCACAATACTCCACCCTTTCAGTCTCCCCTGATTTTGTTACACATATGTAAAATTGAAAATATACTAGCATTTGGAAGTTGACAGAAAAATTTGATGCTAGGTATACAATTGTGAGGAAATGAGTTTCAACCTAAATTAGTTTACCCTTTTCCAGGATGTATGCAGTGACATTTATTAGGCCAAATTACCTTTCTTCCCTGAATTGGGTAAAAATAAAAGCCAGAGTTCTTAAAAAATGATAATGCCAACAAAATAAGACAGTTTTATTTCATAAGAATTGATTCTTGTTATTCTAGCTTGCATGGTATTGAGTAAGTGTCCTCTGAGAAACAATGCTGCTGAGTTTCTAGTTGGGTATAACTTTGAGTAATGTTGGCCCACATGTGAAATTCTACTTTTCTGAGTGGAACTTAATTGTGGTAATTTGAAAAATTACCAAAATCTGCTAAGTGATTTTTGCAAAAATGTGACATATCCATTGTGCCATATTTTAATTATATTTTGATTTTTTGTTCTGAGTTTTAAAATTAAGACATATTATTTTGACTCAGTCATTATAAACAAAGTTTAAAACAAAATCCTGACAAAGATAGTCTACTTATTGTCCAGACATTATATCTCTAATAACTATATAATACAGGTTTTTTTATTGTTAAATTTTATTTTCTCAAAATATTTCATCAGCCATAGAAGGTAACAAATGGATATGTATGTATAGCAAATGGATTTAAAATATAGCTGAAAGATGATAATTTTTTAAAAGGAGGAATGATGTTATTTAAAATTTAAAATACATTATACATGCTCATGTATTGTCTCTTGCCATTTGGTTAAATATATATATGTATGTATTTTTTTGAACTTGTTGCATTGTGATTCAGGATGGTGATGAGTCATCTCCAATTTTAACAAGCTTTGAGATAGTGAAAGTTCCTGACCCTCAAATGTCTATGGTGAGTCACTGTCAAATTTCTAATGAAAGTTCTTTTCTCCAGAGTGATTATGACTTATATCCACCTCAGACACTTTCTAAAAAGTGTATCTGTAACTTCATTGGTTATTAAAAGTGAATAATAAGTTCACTTCAGCCTTATGGAATCAGATTCAAATGGAATATTTATAAGAAATGCTACCTTATCATAAGGCTTGGATAATGAAGTGTTGGTAAACCATTTTATTTTAATTATTGAAACAGCTGTAGAATGTGATCTTGAAAGAAGATTTGGAGAAACAAGTATTTGAAAGATTGTCCTCATAATAGAAGGGGAATTTATTTATACCAGAAGGTAATAGTAAGATCAGTGGTTAAAAATTTTGGGGAGATTGATTTTAGTGAAAAATAGGGAAGTTACCTGAATTGTTCAGTTTGGATTATGGCTTCTTGGATGATTTTGAGATACCTGCTTATGAATTGTTGAGATGACAGCTCTCTCAGGAATAAGAAAGAGGAAGAATTCTTACTTTGTAGCAGATGTTTAATTTGATGACTTCAGATTTAGAAAGTTCCAGAAAAAAATCCTTTTTGACAGCATAATATAAACTGTGATATTCACACTTAGAATTCATTTATGTTACTCTGAACTATTTTATTCTTATTTTACACATTTCTAATTAGACTAATTACCTTCCTAATCAGAACAAAGTAGATTGAAAGTAGCACATTGGAAGATGGAAACATGATGATTAGGGTAAATACAGGTCATTAGAGCAGGAAGTAATGGCTGAGGGCCTAACTTCAAAGGAAGAAATAGGGGGAAAAAGGGAATAAAAATTTGGAAGAAAAAGATCACTTGGGAATTGTAGAAACAAACATCTAAGTACTTCTCCCGTTCCCAAGCCTGGCATAATAAAATAGAGTTTGGTTTAGTTCAGTTCAGTCCTTCAATTGCGTCTGACACTTTGCGACCCCATGAACTGCAGCACACCAGGCCTCCCTATCCATCACCAACTCCTGGAGTTCACCCAAACCCATGTCCATCGAGTCGCTGATGCCATCCAACCATTTCATCCTCTGTCGTCCCCTTCTCCTCCTGCCTCAATCTTTCCCAGCATCAGGGTCTTCTCAAATGATTCAGCTTTTTGCATCAGGTGGTCAAAGTATTGGAGTTTCAGTTTCATCAGTCCCACCAATGAACACCCAGGACTGATCTCCTTTAGGATGGACTGGTTGGATCTCCTTGCAGTCCAAGGGACTCTCAAGAGTTTTCTCCAACACCACAGTTCAAAAGCATCAATTCTTCGGTGCTCAGTTTTTTTTATAGTCCAACTCTCACATCCATACATGACCACTGGAAAAACCATAGCCTTGACTAGACAGACCTTTGTTGACAAAGTAATGTCTTTGCTTTTCAATATGCTGTCTAGGTTGGTCATAACTTTCCTTCCAAGGAGTAAGTGTCTTTTATTTTTTTTATTTATTTATTTTTTTTGGAGTAAGTGTCTTTTAATTTCATGTCTGCAGTCACCATCTGCAGTGATTTTGGAGCCCAGAAAAATAAAGTCAGCCACTGTTTCAATAGATCTAAAATGGATACTGAGTTTTCATTATAAGATCAAATTGTCTTTTACATTGTGGATATAGGAAACACATAAAGAGTTACCTTCAAAATGGATGAGTGTATACAAATTTTGTCATATTGGAACCATATTACTTTCATGTAGCTTGTACCAAAATGTCAGGTAAATGAGAGGTCTGTTTATTTAGTGTGTTTTTTTCTAAATAAAATGTTCATCAACAATTACAGGTTAGTTAAAAAAAATCAAAGATGTTAGACCTCTTGAATTTTTTTAGTTTTAAATGCAATTGAGAAAGGACAAAACAAAGGATATTTTTTAAAAAGCGAGCAACCCTTATCTGCTGTGTTAAAAAAATTTAATTTGTAGCCATTAGTATTAACTAAATAGAGGAATATAGCAAACATTGAGTACCACCAAGCTGGTTTATCCCTGTATCAGACAATAAAACAGACTGTGTAAGTGTGATACTAGCACATGTACATATACACATAGACTGATACAACTGTCTAAAAATCCCAGAAATAAGTCCAAGTACATAAGGAAATTGATAAAGGTGACTTTTCATCACTGGAGCATAGTGCTGGGGAAGAGCCATTTAGAAAAAGATAAAATTACCGTACCATACATTACCTTACACCATACATAAGGAAAAACTCCAAATGAATCAGGGATTTAAATATTATAAAATGGATCCTAACTGGATCCTAACTGTTCATTGGAAGGACTGATGTTGAAGCTGAAACTGCAATACTTTGGCCACCTCATGCGAAGAGTTGACTCATTTGAAAAGACCCTGATGCTGGGAAAGATTGAGGGCAGAAGGAGAAGGGGATGACAGAGAATGAGAGGATTTGATGACATCACCGAGTCAATGGACATGGGTTTGGGTGGACTCCAGGAGTTGGTGATGGACAGGGAGTCCTGGAATGCCATGGTTCATGGGGTTGCAAAGAGTCGGACACGACTGAGCAACTGAACTGAACTGAACTGGTACTTTACTGTCAGTGTAGGTAAGGACTTCTAAAGCTGAGTCAAAATTCACAGGCAACAAAAGAAATGATTGGTAAATTTGACTATGTTAAAAAAAGTTTGCATGGCAAAAACACCATAACAAAGTCAAAAGACAGTTGACAAACTGGGAGACATACATCACAAAGGGCTGCATATCTAGTATGTCAAAAACTCTTAATACTGAAGAGTAAAGGACCAAAATTCCAATTGCAGATTAGGAAAAATACATGAACAGGCAATTCACACATGTAAAAATGAATAAAATAAGGTCTCTTTAAGCAAAGATCGTGTGTTCAAATCTTACTGTGATTTTGGCCGTAGATAATATAGTCAGGCGTTTTGGTCACTGTCACTGCCCTAGGTTATGACTGGCAGTTTAAGGTGATAGTATGATTATATCACAAAGTTGCTAGTTACTCCTAGGAAAAGGGAGCTTTAGTCTGGGTTGCCAAGGGAGATTTTTGGAGTGAAGGTGACTTTTGGTTGGCTAGACTAAAATCTTGAATACAATGAGGAGTTAAAACAAGGACCTGGGATGGCATGCGCATGTGGGCCAGTACCTGGTGAAGCATACCCTAGCTTGCTTAGCTTTCCCTATCACCACAAGATACAGAGGAGACTACAGTTGTAACAAGAAGAAAATAGTCAGTATTATAAACTGGTCTTAAGTAACTATTTGCTTTTTCTGAGTGACTATTGAAACTGATTATTGGTGAAATTTGCATTGTTGGTTAATGTTTTTAAATAATTTATAGGAGAATTTAGTTGAGAGCAAACATCACAAACTTGCCCGGAGTTTAAGAAGTGGACCTTCTGACCACGATCTCAAACCTAATGCTGCCACAAGAGATCAGCTAAATGTAAGAGCATTTAAAAAATATTAATATAAAAATAGTTGAGTGGGTATTTTGATTGAAGCTCATGTGATAAGATAGCACATCACTTAAAAGTGATTCAGATGCAGGTTAATGAATCCTGTGTAGTTTCAACAACTTAACATTTCTGTCATTTTGTATCATTTTGGGGCTTTCAGGAACTATATTAGCCCTAGAGACAAAGCTACAAATAGTATGTCTTCTTAATGTAGTATTCTTAGAAACTGACCCTAAGATACATTGTCTAAGAGAAGTCTCCTGTTGGCTTAACAAGAAAAAGTGAAGTGAAAGTGAAAGTTGCTCAGTGGAGTAGACTCTCTGCGACCCCACGGACTATGGAATTCTCCAGACCAGAATACTGAAATGGGTAGCCTTTCCCTTCTCCAGGGTATCTTCCCAACCCAGGGATTGAACCCAGGTCTGCCCACATTGTGGGTGGATTCTTTACCAGGTGAGCCTCAAGGGAAGCCCAAGAATACTGGAGTGGGTAGCCTATTCCTTCTCTAGCAGATCTTCCTCACCCAGGAATCAAACCGGGGTCTCCTGCATTGCAGGCAGATTCTTCACCGACTGAGCTATCAAGGGAACCCATTAACAAGAGAAAAGTTTATTGTGGTTTTTTGTTTTGAGTTTTTTTCCTTTTCTTGTGTGTGTGTTGGTGGGGGCTTTTTCCTCCCTCATTTTTATTTTTTTATTTTTTTTAACTTTTTATACAAATTTAAGGGTTACTTTCCATTTATAGTTGTTACAAATTGTTCTCTCTGTTCCCATGTTGTACAGTACATCCTTGAGCCTGTCTTGTAGGCAGTAGTTTGGTGGGGTAAAACTTTTGTTATTTGGGTTTGTTATGTTTTTCACAGAAGTAAGTTAGCTCTGTAACAACATACTCTTTTATGTGAGGCTTAACTTTTATCTTTTTCTCCCTTCACACTCTTAACAATGTCCTTTTTGAACTGATAGGTACAGCAGATTTATGTCTTACTTAGCTTCATGTACATTTTCCTTTCTTCTGTAGTAATTATAGATATATTTAAATGAATGGAAAATTTTAAATGAAATGGAAATAGATAGCAGGTTGTTTTTTGTTTTGTTTTGTTTTTGTTTTTTTAATTTGACGAAGTGGTTCTTTTTTTCTTTGTTTTAGATTATTGTGAGTTATCCACCAACCAAGCAACTTACATATGAAGAACAAGATCTTGTATGGAAGTTTAGGTATTATCTTACTAATCAAGAAAAAGTGAGTTTCTTGAATATTTTCATATATCAAATTTATCTATAAACTTTGTTGCTAATGAGCAAAACTGTCATAGAAATACAGACTAATTGTCAAATTTTTATTAAAATGTTTCTAGAGCAGTATATGTTGCTCCATTTCTTAAAAATTATGAAACTATACACACAAAGACACATGTACCTCTTTGTTGATGTGTAGACAGTGTCTAAATGGGTTAAGTCAGAGAGATTTGGGTTCAGTTTCCAGCACTGCAGCTTACTCTTTCTGGATAAGGTGAAGCAGAGTTCTTTGGGAGCTTTGTTTCCTCATTTTACTAATTATGACAGCCCTGCTTCACAGGTGAGATAATACACATGAATAACCCGGTTGAGTCCTTAGTGCATAGTAGGTGCAGAGTTAAATGTTGGCTCACTTTTGTCTTCTCTCTTTTCATAGAAGTAAGTTAGTTCTGTGAAAACATACTTTTTTATATGAGGCTTTACTTTTGGGCCTTAACTTTTGCCTCTTTGGGCCTGGGTGGCTGGCAAAGAGCTGTAGAATCCTGGAGATGTGGCTAATGAGAGAGTATGAGAACTATAATCTGAAATGATGAATTGGTAGAATGGCATCCAGTGTGAGATGAGGGTAGAGAGGGTAGGTCAGAACTACACATTACTTTCCATACTGAAGCTACAGAGTAAATAAAGTTTCCTTCTGGGCTCACTGAAATCATTCCTTTCATGTGCACCTCAGCTATCTGGGGCCAGTATCCAATGAGAGAGAGAATTGTGATGAAGTAGTCAGTACTAGGGGGCCTTCCCAGGTGGCACTAGTGACAAAGAACCCCGCCTGCCAATGCAGGAGATATAAGAGATGCGGGAAGATATTCTGGAGGAGGGCATGACAACATACTCCAGTATTCTTACTTGGAGAATCCCCTGGACAGAGGAGCCTGGTGGGGCTACAGTTCATAGGATTGCAGAGTCTGACACGACTGAAGCGACTTAGCACACACAGTCAGTACTCGACTGGAGTTTAGAGACTTAGTTTTGAGGCTTATGGTTTATTGCTATTTATTGTCATGAAGAAGCTTTTTGACTAATTTAGCTTCCTCACATTTAATATGAGTTGATTCAGTTATAGTGAACTTTAAGTCTCTTCTAGTTTATGTTGTGTAGTGGGCTTAGTCACTCAGTCCTGTGTGAATCTTTGTGACCCCATGTTCTGTAACCCGCCAGGCTCCTCTGTCCATGGGATTTTTCAGGCCAGAATACTTGAGTGGGTAGCCATTTCCTCCTCCAGGGAATCTGTGTGACCCAATCGAACCTGCGTCTCCTGCCCTGTAGGTGGATTCTTTACCACTGAGCCATCAGAGGTTCGTCTTGCTTCTTCCATGGGAGCCTTGAGGAACAGCTATAAATACAGGTGAAGCTTTGCTAGGTGGTCCACTCACCTCTTACTGTGTGGCCTGGTTCCTTATAGGCCACGGACCAGTACCAGTCCATGGCCTGGGGATTGGATAAAAATCCAGTTACAGCTCATTTTAACTCTTCAGCTTTTCTTTTCTATCTTTTATTGATGCCTTGAGAAATTCTTTGTGGACGAACCACACTCATTCTCTTTTACATCTATAATAAGAATGAGAGAGGAATTTTAAGTTTGCTGTAGCTTTTGAGTGTTATTCTTTTTATCCCTGCAAGAAAAGGAAAGAATCATCAACAGAAGCACAGATGTGTGATTTTTGTGTTTTTTAAAAAAAATTGAGTTAGTATCATAATACTTTACTAAACGAAGAATAACTTTATTCACAGAAATTGCATCTTGAATGCAGTTTTTTGTCTAAAAATAAACAGCAAGATATTGAATTAAACTTGTTAGAATGTATAGGTTCAAAAATCAGATTTGCAAAGCAGAACTCCCTTAGATAGAAAAACTTCCAAGGAAAATTGTTTAAACAAGTTTTCACTTCCCCCTGAAATTCAGTTACCCCTAGGTATGTGCAAAAGAAATAAAATGCTTACATGATATAAAGTATGTGACAGATTTCATTTAACTAGTTGATTTCAAGTTTTTAAAAGGTAGGTGATGAAACTTCAATTCTCAGGACATATTACAGAGTTCTTATGATCACTAGAGTAAGGTGAATGCTATTTTTTACTATTTGGAAGCACTTTTCAGAAAACCAAATATATATTGTTCTTGAAATGACCAAAGGAATTATTTACATAGCCACATTTGTATCTTTGTAATAATTTAAAATGGGTTTTGTAGAAAATAAATGCTTCTCTACCACTGTCCCTTAATTTATTTATAGAAGAAAGTCGCTCAATGCCAGTTTCTCAGGAACTGTGATTTAGGTTATTTGACATTTGAGCCCTCAGGCTGAAAAAGATTTCTAGCGAGAAAGCAGTGCTCAGGAAACAAGTTAGTGGAAATTGGTTCTTACAAAGTTATACTTCTTATTTATTTTTTAATTAAATTTGTTCTTTCCACCTATTTTTTCCTAAATGACCGGCCTTAAGTATTTCAGATAAAAGCCCTCTAGTCTAGACTTAATGTTGCACCTGAAAAATTCACAGTAATAAGTTTGTCCAATAAAATCAGTTAAATTTATGAAGTATTTTTAAATTTATGGTCTGTAGCACGTACAAAATGACTCGTTTTTGTGGAACCAAAAGTGTGAATATTATAACTTTCTAAATTCAGCTTTTAACATGGTAAATGTCTTTTCTTCTTGTGGAAATGTTAATTAAAGATAACCATCATATTACTATCTTTCTACTATGACTAGGGAACAAAACAGCAGGAATAGTCGTATGGTGAAGGTGATGGTGATGCAGACAGACTGCGCTTACAAGGCTACTTTTGAGGCAGTGCCATCAGTCCACTAGTCCTACTTGTGTCTCCTGGCAAGATGCTGATGGCATACCATGGCATAAATGAACTCAGTTCAGCACACAATTGGTATCAGCTCTTGGCCTAGTGTTATTTAAGGCTCTGGGCTTTGAGACACTATGTCACTATAAATTTCATATAGATTAAAATTGTTTGGGTGTGCCTGCTAAATCTCTTCAGTTATATCTGACTCTTTGCAACCCTATGGACTGAAGCCCACCAGGCTTCTCTGTCTGTGGGATTCTCTAGGCAAGAATACTGGAGTGGGCTGCCACGCCCTTCTCCAGGGGATCTGCCTGGCCCAGATTGTCTGGGGAAAAAGATAATTATAGATAACCTAAATGGAGAAGTATAGGATAGTAACTGATAAAGGGTCATTGTCTCATTAGTTAATAGTTAGGTAATTACTAGATAGTGATGTGAAGGAGAACAAGATTAATGTGTTGTGATATGAGGGAGGTTTTACAGAAATAAAATTGGTCCTAAAGTTTGAACAAACTTCAGTGGTCATTCTTATTTGATGATCATTTTTCATGGGAAAGAAAACCATGAGTAAGGCAGAGTGTTAGGTTTGGGAGATAGAAATGTTTGTATGAAATGTTCTTTAAATAGAAAAGATGGAGTCAGACTGTAATGAGCCTTGAATTCTATGATTCAAAGTTGAGTATCACTCGCAAAAGGAAACCCGTAAAGCCAAGTGATGTTTTAAGGAAGATGAACCAGGTAGATTGGAGCAGAGCTGACAGTGAAGAAAGAGACATAATTAGGAGGTTCATATATGGATTTTGAGAGCTGTATTGGAGGGCAGAGGAAGGAGAGGAAAATATTTAAAATTACTTGGAGGTAATTGCCAAGAATTAGTCCTGAGCACCTGAAATAAAGAAATATGGCAAGTGAAAGGATCAGGATAAGGAGATATTTTGGTTTTGAATTTTCTGAATTTATAATATTAAAATAGCTGTGATATGGTGATACAATAAGAAATAATATATTTGGTCTTCATCTCTGGTTACTAACAGAGAGTTTCTAAAACCCTAGGAATTTCTTGAGTGGTAGGAATGAGAAGAGCATCTTTTGTTTTTCAAGATAAGCCCTTTACAACTGTACCTGTATTTATGCTAATGAGGTGACTCTTGGAGATGGGGGGCTCATCACCAAAAGAGCTGCAGTTTTGATTAGAGGGCTGGAACTTTCAGCTCTACCTTTGACCTCTAGAGATGGAGCAGGGATAGGGGATTAGATAGAGGCTGGGAATTGAGCTAGAACCCAAGAATAGTTAATGATTTAATCAGTTGTGCCTGTGTAATGGGATCTCTGAAAACCTGTAACAATGGAGTTCATAGAGCTTCTGGGCTGGTGAGTGCATCCATATGCCAGGAGGTTGCGTCCCTGACTACAGGGACGGATGAAGCTCCTGTGCGTGGGACCCTTCCGGACCTCACCTAGTGTGTTTCTTCACCTGGTTGTTCATTTATCTGTTTTATAATAAACCAGCAATAATAAGTAGTACTCTAGGTTCTTTGAGTCATTATAGCAATTATTGAGCCTGAGGAAGGTCAGCCATGGGAACCCCCAGTATGTGTCCTTGTTGGACTGAAGTCTGGGTACCTGAGGACCCAGTGTTTGCTCTTAGCATCTGAGACGGGAAGCAGTCTTGCACTGAGTTCTGCACTGAGTACCAGAATTCAGTTAAGTTGCAGGATACTCAGTGTCTGCAGAGAATTAGGGTGTCAGAAGTGTCTTGAGTAGAACAGGTTTTCCTGTTCTACATTTTGGAAATGTAGAAATTTCCAAAAATCGAGTTGGTAGAAGTTAATATTAGAAATATACACAATAAATAATGTTTGCAGCTCTGAAATGTGATCATGATTCTAAAAGTAGGAGATAACAATGAGGTGATTCTAAGATCAGAAAGGAGGTTAACAAAATATTTATTGCTATCAATATAAAATGTGGTAATACATGTGATAATGTTAACATTTGACAGTAACATCAGAAGCATTTATCAACTATTTATTATATATATATACTGTTTTAAACATCTGTATCATTAACTTATTTAATATTTATATAAACTTTATGAGATAGAACACTTAAAAGTTAAATAATGTGCTCCATGTGACTCAGTAATTATTGATGGAGCTGGAAACTAAGATTTGAACCCAAACACCTTTCCTCTAAAACCTATACTCTACAGTTATCTGTGGAAGTCCTAGGTATAAAATTGCATTTGAATCCTCTATCTTTGTTTTATATAGATCAATAAAGCATCTTTAAAGCACCTGAAATAAAGTATCATCATTACTATTTCTGACTTCAAATTCTTACACTCCTTTCTTTCTCATTCCTCTTCTTGTTTCCACTTTCATTCTATTATCTCTTTGTTTACCTGTGTCCCATTTAGCGTTACCAGGTTGTGAAATCTTTGTACAGTCCCTGGCAGCAGTATACTCCATAAATCTTACTAATAAATCTGTAAATCTGAGAATCTGAGAGTTAGATTGTTTCAGTTACTAAATTGAGTACATCAGCTTGCTATAAGCTTTGCTTATAGTAAGTACATACCAGCACATCTTCATTAAGACTGTGGATATACTGTGAAGTGGAAAAGCTTTCACTGTAGTTATTTAGGAAGTATTGCTTTATTTTCACATTCAATCTAGAAATACATTTAAGAAGTAAAAAATAAATACATAGAATAAGGAGGGCCATCCATGTGCTTTTATGTAGAGAGAGCACTTAAATGATGTGCAGGAGGTACAGAAGAAATGGCTGGCTATTGTTGGGGAATGCAAACTCCAGTTGTAGACATTAGAATGCCCAGAAAAGCATTTGGTAGTTAGAAGAGAGTCATTTAAAAGAAGAATGTAAAATTGAAGCAGCTACTGAGAGAAGAGCTGAAAGTTGCTGAAAACTTCCTGGAAAAGTTGATATTTTGACAAGTTGGCCTTAAAGAAGATGACACTACTGTTTTCACAAAGAGCATAAGAAAGGAAGCAACTCCTTGTAGATAGGAGTTAGACCATCCTGTATAAAATAGGTTAGCTTGTTTGAAGTGTAGAGGGGCAGTGAGAGTTATTGAGAATTAAAGGTTTGGATTATGGTAAGAGGTATCAAGGAATGTTTTGAAAAAGAAGCCAAGGTTTAAAAAAAAAATGGCTTCACTATAAATACAGTGCAAATTAATCACTGAAATTACTTAGGTAAATATTGAGTCTCTTTTTGGCAGAGATATTATATGGTAAATTTGTGCTAATAGTCGGAGGTTGTGCTAATAAATCACTTCCAACTTGAATATCTAACAGATCGTGAAATGATTAGAAGAGAAACTCTGAGCTCGAAGGTTGTGCCAAACTCTAGATGTGTGGTATAGTGAGAGTCAGTCTGAGGGAAACAGTGGGAAATACTGCCAGGAAATAATCAAAGAGAATTAGGAATGGATTTGAGACAGGAAGAAAGGAGGCAGGGCATAACCATTAAAAGAATGAAGCAGCCATTAAGAACAGGATCCACAAAAACTGATTGGAACCTAAATAGGCCCAAAGTGGCAGAAAATATGACTTCCAGGAGACGTTGAGCCTCATTTGCACTCACTGTAATACGTTAGCTAAATAACAGACCCCCTGGTACCATGACAGTTCCTAAGGCCAACCGTGAAGTGAAGTGAAGTGAATGAAGTCGCTCAGTCGTGTCTGACTCTTTGCGACCCCGTGGACTGTAGCCTACAAAGCTCCTCTGTCCATGGAATTTTCCAGGCAAGAGTACTGGAATGGGTTGCCATTTCCTTCTCCAGGGAATCTTCCCGGCCCAGGGATCAAACCCGGGTATCCTGCATTGCAGACAGACACTTTACCATCTGAGCCACCAGGGAAGCCACCATAAAAGGCCACAAAGTCAGTGCCGGCCCACTTCTGGAAATCTCTGCCCTTTCCTCAAAATAGTTGGAATCATCCTCCTTCTTGTTAGCCTGTGAAATTACCTAGCTCATAAAAACTAACCACCCCTGTATTTCAGGGTCACTTGTGCCTTCTGAGACAGCCCACATTCTGTCTATGGAGTGTGTATCTCTCTATGTAAATCTGCTTTCACTTTACTGTGGCTGGTTCTTCTGTGAAGCCAAGGACCTTCACTAGGCAGCCAGTCCCAGGGACTTATTTGAGACCCGGAAAATGACCCTCCACTTGTGCCCCTTTTTTTTTTCTGTAACAAATTTAGGGGATAAGTGTTGGTGGAGTAATGGCTCCCAGGGGCTTGCTAATTAGGAGATAGTAGTTCCTTACTGGTAAGGAGAAACCATCTGGTAGAACATGCATGAGTTGAGAGTCAATGGATTTGGATTCTAAGTCTACCCTGTCCAATATTTTGAGATGATGGGCAAGCCACTTCACTCAGATTATACACAAATTTGAGCACTCCATAATGCTTTTATCCCATAATTTAGTTAAGTCAAGAATAAGTTCAGTTAAGTTCAGTTTAGTTCAGTTGCTCAGTCGTGTCTGACTCGTTGCGACCCCATGGACTGCAGCACACCAGGTGTCCCTGTCCATCACTAGCTCAAAGAGCTTCCTTAAACTCATGTCCAGTGAGTCAGTGATGCCATCCAACCATCCCATCCTCTGTTGCCCCTTCTCCCGCCTTTAATCTTTCCCAACATCAGGGTCTTTTTATTGGAAATTCAACTTCAACATCGTTCCTTCCAATGAATATTCAGGACTGATTTCCTTTAGGATGGACTGGTTGGATCTCCTTGCAGTCCAAGGGACTCTCAAGAGTCTTCTCCAGGACCACAGTTAAAGAGCATCAGATCTCGGTGCTCAGCTTTCTCTGTGGTCCAGCTCTCACATCCGTACATGACTACTGGAAAAACCATAACTTACGAGACGGACCTAAGTTGGCAAAGTAATGTCTCTGTTTTTTAATATGCTGTCTAGGTTTGTCATAGCTTTTCTTCCAATGAGCAGGTGTCTTTTAATTTCATGGCTGCAGTCACCAACTGCAGTGATTTTGGAGCCCAAGAAAATAAAGTCTGTCACTGTTTCCATTGTTTCCCCTTCTATTTGCCATGAAGTGATGGGACCGGATGCCATGATCTTAGTTTTTTGAATGTTGCGTTTAAGCCAGCTTTTTTGCTCTCCTCTTTCACTTTTATCAAGAGGCTCTTCAGTTCCTCTTCACTTTCTGCTATAAGGGTGGTGTCATCTGCATATCTGAGGTTATTGATATTTCTCCTGGCAGCCTTGATTCCAGCTTGTGCTTCATCCACCCCAGCATTTTGCATGATGTACTCCACATATAAGTTAAATAACAATAAGTTAGGGAATGGGAATAAAGATTAATTTTTTGTCATACTAATAAGTAATTGTGTTTTATTATCCAAGGGAACATTTTTTGGAGAACTTGGTTAGTTTAATAATGAAAATGTTTTTAGTCGAGTGGCGCAAGAATTTAAAATTTTAAAGTTATCTTTGTTCAAGAGATGAATTCATAGAAAAAGAGGAAAATGTCTCAATATCAGCCAGCAAAGTGTTGTTAGTAGGGAGATCTGGCAATAAGGATTGCTTTTTTATGAAAAACAGGTACACACCTTTCTTTAAGAAGCATTTATTGTTATGCAGCCATGAATGATATGCTCCAAGGTAGCTTCCTCATCTGACAGTCTTAAGAATTGGCTGCCTTTCTAAAGAAGGGAGATTCCAGAAAGATTCTACAGCCAGCTGAATTGTAGAATGAATATACAGAAACCAGTGCTCCTGTGTATTTATCTATTTTTATACTTGTTTCTGTAGAGGTGTGTGTGTTTTTTTTAATTCTCTTTTTCTGTAGTTACTTCTCTCTGTAAGAGAGACATACATATTCAACTTCATTTGAGTCATCCTATGTGCGTATCTAGGGAAACTATTCACTCTAGGATGTGTTCTTGAATGGGGTTCAACCCTTCTTGGCTTTGGACTCTTTCATTCTTTGGTTGCAATGTTTTATGTCTCACATGTTGATATTGTAAAATGAAGTTTTTCTCTTAAGACATCTCAGACTTCATGGAACATGTCTCAACGATTTCCTTGTGTTGAGTCTTGCAGTATTTTAAAATAGTGAAAGCATAATGAAGGAAAGTTGAAGAAAATTTAAAGCTTCATAGTGCTTTGTAGTGCTCTGAAAAAAAAAAGTAAAGTTACAAGGAACAGGCACTTCCCACCCTCTCACTCCAGCCCGCCCCTTGGTCCTGCAGTGTTTTTCTCAGACTGTGTGTCTAGTCTTTATCTCAGGAGTCTCATTGACTTTGTGACTGTGCCGTCAGGTCAAGCTGAGCTCTGCCTCGTCATCCTTGATTCCCCCCTTTCCCAGAATAAGATGTTTCTAATTTTTAAACCTTTTCTGATTTTAGGCTTTGACAAAGTTCTTGAAATGTGTTAATTGGGATCTACCTCAGGAGGCCAAACAGGCACTGGAACTTCTAGGCAAGTGGAAGCCTATGGATGTAGAGGATTCCTTGGAGCTGTTGTCCTCTCATTACACGAATCCAACAGTGAGGCGCTACGCTGTGGCCCGATTACGGCAGGCGGATGATGAGGTGCCTTAGTGTTCACTACTCCTCTGCAGCTGGGTATATTTTAAACTAGGACCTGTGTGCGTGTGCGTGGGCCGACGGGGTTGGGGGGGGGGGGGCGGGGTCGGCGCTGGTTTTAGAAGGGAAGAGGATATACTATGTGTGTTTTTAGAAGCCAAATTAAAATATTCCTCCAGGGACTCCTCTGTGAAATGAAAATTTACTTCCTGATCTGTTACATGATGGGACAGCCTCCCCCAGGACATTTACCTGTCAGCAGAGCTTGTATTGCTCTGTCTCGAAAAAGGAATTCTAATGAAAAATGGTTTAACGCAGTACCAGCTAGGGAATAATTCAGATCCCCTCTATCAGTCAGTCTACCACAAGCCACATTTAATTGTAACTTTGAAAAGCCTTTGGGGCCTTTAAAGCATAGAGATGTATGGTCATCTTATTCTTTTTCAGACTCCTCCTTTAAAATTTAATCTACCGACAATCGTGTGTGTAAGTAAATTTTTTTAAAGGTGATTTTGAATCCTCTGCAAGAGAAAGACTACAAGCTTTATGGTGGCTGTTTATATACATATAAGACCACCTGGAAAAGTTGGAAACTGTGTTGACCCAAAACATTGCTTAATGTTGATTTTTATTAATTTCTAATCAGGTAGATGAATTCACTAATTTTTTTTATAACTTACTAATTTTGTAGAGGAAATTTCTCAGACATAGTGGCTTATGGAATATAAGGTGACTCTTCTTAAGCCTCAATATATATATAGCAGTGCTCATCATTATTTTGAACTCCTAATGGTATCTGATGGAGAAGGCAATGGCACCCCACTCCAGTACTCTTATCTGGAAAATCTCGTGGATGGAGGAGCCTGGTAGGCTGCGGTCCATGGGGTCGCTAAGAGTCGGACACGACTAAGCGACTTCAGTTTCACTTTTCACTTTCCCTCATTGGAGAAGGAAATGGCAACCCACTCCAGTGTTCTTGCTTGGAGAATCCCAGAGATGGGGGAGCCTGGTGGGCTGACGTCTGTGAGCTCACACAGAGTCGGACACGACTGAAGTGACTTAGCAGCAGCAGCAGCAGCAATGGTATCTGAATTTCAAGAAGCAAAATGCTGCATTTATTAAAGTATATAGTTGTATATGTATCTAATTACAGTAAAATTTAAACACTAAAGAAAGTAGTACAGTGACTGTTCATACGTAATTTACCTATCTTCAGCAGTTGCCAACTCATAGACAATTTTGTTTTCATCTCTAATGCCAGTTACTCTCTCCTTCCCATTCCTTACATTCCACTAGATTATTCTGAGGCAATTCTCAGATATTGTATAATTTTTTTGGACTAGGATGTTTTTCACTCTACTGTCAAACAGCAGTTCCTAGCATTGTGATTCAGCATATTATCTTCTTTATTGTTTTTTTACTATATCACAAGTAAAAATAAATTATTGCAATATTTATTTAAAATAATGAAGTATTTATTTTGAGATTCATTAGAAATTTCACTTTAGTCATTAAGTCTTTATATTTGACATGAGTCAGGATTTAGATAAAGGTCTTTGGGTTGTAGTCAATACAGCCCCCCTCAACATGGGTTCAGAGTTAAAATAAAAATATTATAAATCGTCATTTTTGGTTGTCTGACGACATTCCCTTATAAACTTAGAGACTAAACATTTAATTGTCTCTGGAATTAATAGTATTAGTGCAAGTACTGAACTTTTTCTAGACTATTTTATAATTTTTGTTATGAGATAAAGAATAGTGATAGAAATATTGCATGAATCCCAAACTGAAAAATATGATTGTTAGATTGGGAGTGTTTTTTGAGGCTTTAGAGATGATAGATCGTGAGGTGGTAACTATCTCTTGATTTCCCTTTCTCTGAACTTGGTTCAGTAATGAATTGTGTATACTCAGCTTAAAAAAAAATTTTTAATTTAGTTTCTACTGATTCTTCAGATGTACATTAAGATTTGAATTTTGGCTTTTATCTGACTCTATGTAACTGTATGTCTTTGGGAACATGTGTTATTCTCACCTCAGTTTCCTATCCAAAAATAAAAATAGTGATAATAGCTATTTATATCACTTAAAAGTTATGAAGAAAAAGTTATGTGGGAAAAAATTTTGAAAACTGTACTTACACATAATATGCAGAAAGATTATAAATTTATATCAATTTTATACTAAAATCATTCATGTTGTACCCTTCATTTCTAATTGGTATACAATGTCTTTTTGCTTTTGCATTATCTGTGGAGTAGTATGGTATTTATGATTTTATGAACTTCAGATGTTTTTTAGTATTTCAAAGGATGAAAGTGAAAGACACACAGTCATGTCCGACTCTTTGTGACCCCGTGGACTGTAGCCTGCCAGGCTCCTCTGTCCATGGAATTCTCTAGGCAAGAATACTGGAGTGGGCAGCCATTGCCTTCTCCAGGGGATCTTCCCAACCCAGGGATTGAACACAAGATCTTCCGCATTGCAGGTGGATTCTTTACTGTCTTGAGCCCTTAATATAGTCATATAATAAATAATAATATAATCATGTAAACATAGCATCACATCAAAGGTCACTTTGTCTAAATATCTACATCTTGGACAACTGAAAAACTTGAATGAAAAGTACTGCATTTTATATTTGGACAGTAATTTGTTCAGGATGCCATAGTCCCTTTAGGACCCAAGCCTGTGTATGTGTTACTTTATCTTCCTAGTGGGGTCTTCCTGCTGTCCATCCTTCAAGGTGAAGCACAGATCTCACCATCTCTGAGAAACTTCTCTTAACCACTGAAGGAAGCAGATGACATTTTTGTTTCTTTTCTGCTCCCACAGCATTTGGTTTGTTCCTTTACTGTATTATATTATCATCTTTTTTTTTTTCTGATTTGCTTTCCTTTTGAATTATAAATGAAATAGTAACATTGAAGCTCCTTTAACAGTTCACTTCTCCAGCCATTTTTTATCCTCAGAAAAATAGTCACGCATATCTTTTCATATATTCTGTATGAAAATTTCAAGCATATATAGGCATGTGTGGTTTATATGATGAAAAGTGAAAGGGTAAGTCGCTCAGTCGTGTCTGACTCTCTGTGACCCCATGGACTATAGCCCGCCAGGCTTCTCCGTCCATGGAGTTCTCCAGACAAGAATACTGGAGTGGGTTGCCATTCCCTTCTCCAGGGGATCTTCCCAACCCAGGAATCAAACCGGGTCTTCCTCACTCCAGGCAGATTCTTTATCGTCAGAGCCACCAAAGGCATCTCTTAAAATTAAGGTAAATAGGAATATCCTATACGTGTTATTAAAAGCATGCCTTATTAACTGAACAGTATAATCTTGGACACTTCTCATCTTTAAGACATATAATAATTGGTGTCTGTAAAGTCTGGAAACACAGGCAAATGGATATCAAGGCAAATGATGTCAAAGGTCTATCTAACCTGTAGAAAAACACTATGGTTTTAGACTTTATGGATACCTATAGATCTACCTTATTCTTTCAAAACAGCAGCATACTATTTTATTGCAAGTTTATTTTATAACTTATTTTACCAGTCAGCCTGTTTGATAGGCAGTTGTTTTATTTCTAATCTTTTGCTGTAACTGTATTAGTGAACAGTTTTGTATATGTTTTTTCATATTCTTGAATAAGTAGCTTGCATTGAAATTATTGTCAAAATATATATGCCTTTATCACAATTTTTCATAAAATTTTTTCACATTTAAAAAAATTATATTTTGTGATAGTCATTACTATTATAAACTATCTCACCACTTTTATTTCTGTTCGTTGGTTAAATGAAAACTGCATTTTTATTTTAATATTTATGTTTTATCTAGTTTCTTTAGTGATGTCTCTTTATAGTTTAAATAGGTATTAGATGGGTCCCTATAATTTGTAGGTATAGCATCATGCTATCTGAAAAACATTAATGTATTATAAATACTATATATGAAATAGATACTGAATTCTTAATGTTAAACTCACCTTACATCTGTAACATATATCTTAACCAGTCTTAATATCTTTCTGAATTGGATTTGTTTAATGTTCTTTAAAGGCATTTTTAAAAGCCGTATTTCTTACTATGGTGTGGCTCAGAAGGAGAGAGATTCTCCATTAGAATCTGAGGAAGAAATGGCATTTGAGATAGACATTGAAGGAAGAGTAGAATTTTCAGAGTTGGACTTGAGTTTACTTTCCAAGTGGAGAGAGCAATATGAGCAAAGGCAAGGAGATTGAAAAGTACAGGAAAAATAGAAAGTATTTCACTTTACCAGAAGTATGGGATATATGTTTCTGTCTGGGAACCAAGGTCAGAACCCATGTCTCTAACTATAAATGCCTATATGAAGAATTACTCTTAATTCAATAAGAAATAGTGATTTTGACATGAAATGTTGCATTTGTATTCTAAAGCATTAGAATTAACGTCTTCTTTAGAAAAATAATGATTACTATCTAAATAGTATTTCATAGCTCTTGAGAAATTTTTACTGAATTGTCTGAGATAGAAATCTGTTTTTTTTGTTTGTTTGTTTTGCTTTACTTATATGCTTATATCCTTCGTGCCTGGGGGGATTTTATGTTTTTTGAATGTGACTATGTAATGAACAAACAGCCTTTGCGCTTACTATTGAAGTTAGTTTATTTTCATAAAAATGAAGGAATGGGTAATTTGAATACAGAAAGCAGATGACTAACACAATCATATTGTGATCAATGACTTAAAAAGATGTGTTTCTTATGAATTTCTCCTTCTTGGGGAATTTAATAATAGTGCAACCTTTTTTATTTCATGCAGTAAGTCTTTTCTGTACTTGGGAAAGCACACCAGGTGGTACATTCAGCAGCGTTTCCAAGGTGTGCCTGGTAATGAAGGGTAGCAGTGAAACTGAATTACTTAAACTCCTAAGAAGGATTCTTGATTAAACAATTTTCTGTTATATAATTTTTTTCTTAGAATATACACAGAAGAATATCTAGAGCTGTAAGATGCCATAAATCCTAAATAAGATAATAGAAAATCAAACATTTATTGATCCAATTAAAATTTGTTTTTAGAAACAGAATGCTATATAAGTATTTTGATAAAGTCATTTGATTTTCCTGGCCACTGATACTGGTATATTTGAATAAGAATTAATAAGGCAGTTATCACAGAGTGTACTTCTCTAGAACTCTTGCGGTAAAGAATCTGCCTGCAGTGCAGAGACTTGGGTTCAATCCCTGGGTTGGGGAGATCCTCTGGGGGAGGGAATGGCACCCTACTCCAGTATTCTTGCCTGGAGAATCCCATGGACAGAGTAGCCTGGTGGGCTATAGTCCATGGGGGTGGCAAAGAGACGGACACGACTGAGCAACTAACACTACACCTAAGCCAATTAACCTTTCATTTAGTTTTTTGTGAAAAATAAATCATATTTAATGGTAAAATCGCATGTATTGCTTTTTGCCAGCATTTGGGCAACTATAAAAAAGGTTGACTATGTCAGTATAAGAAAAAAAGATGAAAAGAATATATTTTGGTATTAAATAACGGAAAATAGGATGTTGGGAAGTAATCATCTTCATGGAATTTTTTAAATGGTGGAAATGACAAAGAGTAAATAAGCAAGTAATCGCAAATACTGGGCTTCCCTGGTGGCTCAGTTGGTAAAGAATCCGCCTGCAGTGTGGGAGACCTGGGTTCGATCCCTGGGTCAAACCCAGGGATCCCTTGGGTTATAATCCCCTGGATAAGGGAATGGCTACCTACTCCAGTTTTCTGGCCTCCTCTGGAGAATTCCATGGACTGTATAGTCCATGGGGTCGGAAAGAGTTGGACACGACTGAGCAACTTTCACTCTCACAAATGCTGTAGTTGTTAACAAAATACAGAAGGAAAGAGTTAACCATTAAGTATAAATATAAATATTTAGCCAGGGATTTAACCTTGTTTCTGGGCTCAAGGAAAGGTGACTGAAATTAAACTGGTAATCACAATGTCTTAATATTACCTAGTTGAATTTTGACTGCCTGAGTGGCAATTAGGACTGGAAGATAATAGATGCTGTCAATTTTCTTATGAGTTTTGTGAGTTTCTTCAATTTGTAATTATTTTTGAAACCAAAACTTTTGGATTGGGAAGGGCTAAGAAGTATTTATAGAGTAAGATGAAAAATATTTCCATTCTTAACATTAAGGGAAAACTCAGAAAGGTAAAAACAACTTTCTTGATGCTTGGTTTTTTTTCAGTCTGAATTATCTCACTGTTTATCAGGAGAAGTAGGGGAAATTTAGGTTTAGAAATTTGTTTTCTTCAAGCCAATTTTGGTAGTTGGCAGGAAAATAAACACTTCCTTATCTGAGTGTTAAAATATCTACTTCAGTGTATTTTCCATTTAAGAAGCAACCCAAATTCTCTAAATTCACTAAACTTCAAATTCTCTTAAAATAAAAAATAAATATATAATATTTTTAAAAATCCCAACCAGGAAACATTATGAAATAGAAACACTCTGTAAACTTAATAGTTTGGAGTTTCACATGTAATCTTGGGCCTAAAATGCCATTGCTGTAAAAAGGATCTTTTGTTAATTTCTCAGCTTTATATGAACCATCTCAATCATTTTTCTTAGGTTTTGGTTTTTTTTCTGTGCTTTTGGGATACTTTTTTTTTTTAAATTTTTTATTTTCTATTAGAGCATGGCTGATTAACAGTGTTGTGTTAGTTTCAGGTGTACAACAAAGTGATTCAGTTATATATATACATGTATGTATTCTTTTTCAAATTCTTTTCCCATTTAAATTATTATAGAATATTGAGCAGAGTTTCCTGTGCTGTATAGGTCCTTATTGGGTATCTGTTTTAAATATAGCAATGTATACATGTTAATGGGATACTATTTTAAACCAGATGTTTACTGGTCACTTAATCTGTGCCAGGAACTATTCTGTGACTTCTTTGCTATTAATTGATTTAATCCTCACAACTCAGTCTCTAAGGTTTATATGATTATGGCCATTTTAAAGAAGAGGACCCAGTGAGGCACCAAGAAGTTAAGAAACTTTGGGACCTGCCCAAGGTAACACAACTGATAAGTGGTAGATTAAATTGTTTAACTTCATGTTTAGGAATACCCATAACTTGTATATAATCATTTGCATTTTTCTAATGTTGGCTTATTTTTTGTTTATTTTCCAGGATTTGTTGATGTACCTATTACAGCTGGTCCAAGCTCTCAAATATGAAAATTTTGATGACATAAAGAATGGATTAGAACCTACCAAGAAGGATAGTCAAGGTTCAGTGTCAGAGAGCGTGTCAAATTCTGGGATAAATTCTGCAGACATAGATAGGTATGGATATCCAGGGAGGACTTATTTTCAAATCTGATAGTTTTCTACCTTTTCAGACTATCTTCTTTTCTTTTTTCCCAGATGTACCAAACCCTCGTTGGTAATAAGTTTGAAGTTCTACCAGTGAACTTGGCATGTGTGCTCACAGACCACAAACTACTGTATTATAGGGCAGTGTTTTAAAAAGCAAGCTATAGAGTCAGAATGCCTGAGTTAAAATCTTAACTCTACCAGTTACTCACTGTGTAAACTTCTGCAAATTAGATATTCTCTCTGTGGCCCTCGCCCTAGTTTCTCATGTTAAAAATGAGGATACTGCAATAGTAACTGATCTTTAAGGACTGCTGAAAGATTAAATGACACACATTAAGCATTTAGAAAAGTGTCTGACACATGGTACTTTGTAAGTGTTAGATGTCATTGCTATTCATGCAAAAAGAAAATGAAAGATGAGGCATATTAGTGGACTCAAGACATTTCTATTGTAAAGTTGTATATTTTATTGACTGCTTTTCACCTCTTCAGTAGTTAAAGCAGCCTGTTAATTGAATTGAAAGTTGGCTATTAACAGTAATAACAGTTAAGAACTCTCACCTCTGTAGCAGACACCAGGAGATGGCCCACATATATTAAACTTGTTATTAGTAATCCTCTGAGGTAGGTGTTCATATCCCTAATTTAGATATGAAGGATTTAAGGAGAAGTAAATTCCCAAAGTCTTCCATGTTGCAAATAAGTTGACTCCAAAGCCCTTGTTCTTTCTACTTTGCCATTTTTCTTTTCATAAAATCTTAAAATTTGAGATAAATAGAAACATTTGTGTGAGAAATTCTAGGCTTAGTGGTATAAAGTTGTTTTGTGAAGAAATCATGAGATTTGTTAATGACAAAGGAGGTCTAGAATTCAGATTATCTCAATTAGTACAATTATTTCAATTATCACATGAGTTCAAGATTTTATTTCTGAATTTTTGTTGATGATAGTGCTTTTTTTTTAATCTGCTGTTTTTCACTTAGAAGGGAACTGAGAAACGGAGAAGGGGGAAGAAACATTTTTTCTTATATAGGCTCCTTTATATTTTCCTGTTTTTAAGAGGGGAGATCCCTTACATTTTCTCCCACTGTACATTAGAAGGTTTCAGTCTTTAGGCGTGTTTACTAGCTTCGTCTTACTCTTGCCACTTAGAGCGTTTTATTAGAACTCTGTTTAAGATTTTATGACAGGATGTAAACTATAAATTATAATATCTACTGGTCACCAATTTGTATGCTTTTTAAAAGATGAGAAAGAGATAGGGGTGGTCTTGTGCCAAATATATTTGGAAAATACTGGCTTAAAGTAAAATGTGCTTTATAAAAACACTGTACTATTTATCAGAAACTTCAAAGTATGCAAACTTGCACATACATCTCAAAGATGAATCACCCATATTCTTTGACTATGGAGCCTCTTTTCCAGAATCTAATGTGACTCAGTGCTACCCAGAAGACACACTTTAGGAGATGGTACTTTATCTAGACTCAGGTGTAGTAAACTGTGCTGAACATATGTATCTTCTCTTACAGAAGGATGATTTTACATATCAGTGTATTATTTTTTCAGCTCCCAAATTATAACCAGTCCTCTTCCTCCAGTGTCTTCCCCTCCTTCTGCATCTAAAACAAAAGAAAGTTCAGATGGTGAAAATCTGGAGGTGAGTACAAAGCTTTTCAAGTTTCCTGTAGGAGGGATCCTACAAAGTAAGCATTTTATATTGGTCTTGGAAATATTGATTTTGATAAATAATTACAACTTTATGAAATAATTTGGTTTATGATACGTGTTTATAACTTTTCCTTTCAGCAAAAAGTGCCATCTTCAGTTCAAGGCATTTTATTGGTGCCTTTGGACATGTTAATATAAATGGATTGAAATACAATGTAAAAATAAAGTGGACCTAAATATTTTATTAAGGAAACTCAGAATATTTATTGTTAACACATTTATGAACATTACTGTAGTTGTTGGTGTTTGTGATTACCTTATAGAAATGTATGACTTTGATACTAGGGAGATACACTAAGCTGCTCTTAAGTTCTTTTAGCTAAGCAGAGTAGTTTATGAGGTAAAACAGGTCTATATGGCTAGTGCTACTCTGAAAATTGTATTTGGGAGTACATTTGCAGAAGTTCATCTAGTATGTATTGTTGATTTTTATCCCTACGACCTCTAATTTGAGAAGAATCTTTCATACCCCTGATGTTGAAAATAAGTAATACATGCTTGATATTATAAAGAGGTTTGTTTTCTTTTAAATGCATATATTCAATATAATTTCTTTTAGTCAAATTTTAGGAGTTAATATTGTTAACTGAGTGACGTTTGTTTTCACTATTAACTGTTAATTAGAGTTTACTTGTCTCTGCCTACCTTTTGATATATCAGAAAATACTGAAAAAAGAATTACTGGATCATAGACTCCTTAAAGGAGCTCTTTAAGGAACCGTTTAGCTCCAGTTTATTTTTCTCTTTCTAAAGGGGCTGATTGACTGATTCAGTAATCAGTTCATTCACATGTATTTTTTTGAGTTCTGTGTACCAGATATTGTAGGTGCTAGGCTTGATACAACAGAGAACAAAACAGTCAAAATCTTTTCTCTTCATGGAATTCATTCAAGTGTTTGGGCTGATGATAGTCAATAATATTTATATGCCGTAAAAGAGTAGAAGAAAAATCAGAAAAGAATATAGAGAATGCTGGGGTTGGGTTAGGTGATTGAAATTTTGAAAAAACTGTTCAGGGAAGACCTCCCAGGAAAAGTAACATATTTTGTAAAATGAAGCAGGTGAGGAAACCATGTGGTGATCTGGGGGAGGAGCACTTTAAGCAGAGAGAACAAGGAGTACTTTTTATGTCCTGCTGCTCTGAAACATCTAAATGCATTGATCTCTATGTTTTTCTTTGTTTATCAGTACCCTTCAGTATTTGCTTTCCTCTGAGTACAGCTTTTATCCCAACTCATCATTTTAATCATTCTTCAGTTCTCTTGGCACAGTCTTAACCCTTGATAAGCCTAATTAATTACCTAATTTCTCTGTGCCTTAATACTTCGTAAGAAATCACGTAGCCTATCATGTTGATATCACCATACATTCATGACCGCAAACATCAGGGGGGCATTCAGCACTGCCTGCCTTCCTACATTTCTCTAGCTGGTTGCTCTCCTTGCTCTACAGTGACTGTTTCATACCTTTTCAGCCCTGTTCTTTATGCCCTGCCTTCCAGTTTCTAGATCACAATTCTGCCTCATTTTTAATGGAAACAAATAGAAGTCATTAGATAAAAATGGTTGCCATTTTCCATCACCAGATTTACAGATGTGAATCTCTTCCCATTCTTCACTTCTGTTTTCTTAACAATGAAGAATAACTCCCTTGAAAGATATGCTCTCTTCTTTTCCTGGTAGAAATATTCAGATATGTGTTAGTATCTCTTATTTAAAAAATTAAGAAATGGAAAAAAAAAAAGAAAAATTCTTCCCTGATACCACATCCTTCAAAACAGCATCTAATTTTCTTTCTTCTCTTCATAATCAAGTTTCTCAGAGGAGTTGTTTGTCCGTCTTGACTCTCCTTCCTTTCTTTTTAGTCTTTAATTCACATCATTCTGGGCCTTTGTTTCCCATCATTATATTAAAACTTACTTTGCTAAAATAAAATGGTAAATGGCTTCAGTGTTTGTGGTTGTGTATATTTAAATTCCTCCCAGCATTATTCAGGAAAATAAATGACTCCCATCTTGAAAAGCTATCTCTTTCATGGTTTGAGTGATACCATACATCCGCTGTTTTCCTCTTCACCTCTCCAGCCGTTCCTTCTTGGTTTCCTTTGTCAGTACTTTCTTGTTGCTTGACATCTTACTGTTCCTCAGGGTACCCATTGCTAGCACATTTCTCTCTCCTGAATTTTAGATTCATATATCCAGATATCTACTTGATTTCTGTTGTATATCTGACAGACATTTCAAACTTAATACTTCAAAATACAATTCTCTCCCCCAACACTCTTGCCTCGCTTGGAATTTCTGTGATGTAACAAATCCATCCATTTACTAAATCCATAAATTTAGGGGTCACTGTCAGTTCTTTTTTGTTTCATACATCCTCTCCATCAGCAAGTCCTATTAATTATACTTCCAAAATATTTTAATAATCTATTGCCTCTTTGTCACCATTCAGCCTAGTAGTCTAGAGACTACTGTAATAGCATGCTGACTGATCTCAGGTCTGTACTTCTCAGAGCAAGTAGTCATTTTCAGAAAATGTAAAGCAGACCACCTCACTCTCCTGCTTTAGATCTTTTGTTGAGTATCGATTGCTTTGAAAATGAAATCCATACTCAGTAGTGTGACCTTAAAAGTCTTCATCCACAGTCTGGTCTTTGCCCCGTTTTCAGCCTCCTTTCCTTTAGTGTTCTATGGATGTCAGCTACGTCAGGCCTTTTCAAAGTTCCTTGAACAGTGAGATTCGGGGCCTTGGTATATACCATCATGCTGGCTGTGCCTAAATATCACATCCTCATTGCCGCCTCTGACCTCGCAGTCCAGGTTATTTTTATGACTTCCTTTAATGCACCTCTCCTCCACTAAATGTTAAGCTTCTAGTAGAACCAGGAACTCTGCAAACCCTGATGTCCTTAACCTCTCTCACATATTGCCTTGTTTAAAATAAATATTAGATAGATGGGATGGAGGGATAGATAGATGCATGAAAATCTGGTCTGCATCATAGATATGTAGATGAAAACTGATAGGCAAATGTAGACTCTTTTCTCCCTTGTTAATAGCAGATGGTAATATATATATACATTTCTTTTAATTCTTTCAGCAAGATCTGTGTACCTTCTTGATATCAAGAGCCTGCAAAAACTCAACACTGGCTAATTATTTATACTGGTATGTGAAATAATTTTTTATTTTATAATCACTGTTTAGGACTATTTTTTCCCAAATTGTATACAAAAAGGCAGTTTAAAATAAAGTATGAGCAATGATCAAAAACCTGTACAGTATTTATATTTAGCTGTATTTATTTGCAATTATGCTCATGGAAATAGTTGTTAGCATCACAGTTTTTCTTCCTTTTACTAACTTTCTAGGATCTAAGATAAAACTGGGTAAGTTAATTGATTTTTTTCAGTTTGATATCTGTTTGCCTTTTATGCTATTTAAATAGTGTATGATTGTAATTCAGTATTTTCACATTATTTACTAAAATACTACAATCATGCTAAAGTAGACAGAATTTGAAGTTACTTATCATAGATGAGGAAACTGAGGCAGAGGCATGAAGTAGCTGAACTTGCTAAAACTTGAGCTGGGATTAGATCATTGATTTCACATTTTGCCATTTACAGAGTACTTTCAGTGACCTTTTCTCATTTGTTCATGTGAAGTTTAATAGGGCAAATGTAAGCATCTGTATTTTATGTGAGAACAGGTTTCCTGAATGAGTTGAAGGAAAGAAAGAGAGGGAACTAAGGCATAGAAAGGTTAACTGACTTACTGAGACACAATTAATATGAAGCATGGCTCCCTTTTGTCATAGAATTTTAAAATGTAAAGAACAAGTAGTTTAAGCCACAGGAGAAATCCTTTGTTTGAGAACCTTATCCAGTTTTTAGAGCAAACAAAAGGCAGAGCCAGTTGGGTGTGCTCTACTTCTCTCCTTCTGTACATTTGAGAGAGCTTTTTTTTAAACTTCCCAACAAACCTGATATTTGTTTAACTATAGAAAAGATCCCTGATTTAATCTTACTGCTCAGTTTACTATGTTTAACTGTGTTTTTCTGTTGACCTTTCTAGTGGGAAGAAAAGTAATTCTATGCTTTTCTTTAGCAATTTAATATTCATAAAACTACATTTCCCTCATAGTAACTTTCAGTATGTCCTTGAAAATACATCCACAGAATGTTTTGGCTAATTGTTAATCACCGTTTTGACTTTGAAAAGTTTGCTTAGAAATTATTATCTTACCAAATCATTACTATTTCCCTTTAATGCAGCCTCTTGGCTTCCTAAAGTTCTCCATATTGCAGTTTGAATTCTTAAGTGATATCTATTCACTGGTGTTAAGGAAAAATATTTCCTTGTAAAAATTTAGATAAATAATTCAGAGTAAATTGAAATGTGTAGGGCACAGTGCCAAGGTTTTGAGTAAGTACTTTTAAGCCTCGTAGGTATTTAAAATCAAGGTTTTATATATTTTAAATGTTTTACTAAGAATTCCTTTATAGCTATATTTATTTCCTTGTAATATTCATGAAAAGTTTCTCTGACCCATTACTTGCAGTGTAGATTAGTCACTTGTAGGAACTGTATGTGCATACACTGATTATGTGGTATTTAAAATTATGTATTCTTTAGATTTGAGTGTAGACCAGATTTCACTGTAAAATTTGAAATTAGTTGTGATAAAATCTTTGCTATCTTATTTCAAGTAGGAAGAGTTTTCAAACCATTCTGAATGCAGCTGAACAGTAGGAAATCTGTTAGGTGAACAGTTTCCAGTGAGGCAACAGTTTCTGTTCAGAAAGAGTACTTTGTTTTCTCTACAGATAATAAGCAAAGTGAAGCCCTAGCTCCCAATCTTATAAATGTTCCATCAAACTTAGATTTGATTTGTGTTCTCCCACTGTGTTTCTGATTCACTGATGCAATAGCATGTGCTATGTCTATTCATTCTCTGAGGAGTAATTGTTTTTTTCCATATTTACAGTCTTCATATTTACAGTCCGCATATTACATGTTCAGAAATATTCAGGGAGGGAAAGAGCTATTGATGTGGGCTTCTGAGTTTGGTAGACACCACTTTTGTGATTGTAGCATGAAAATAAGGAAATAATTTCAAGTAGTTGACTTAAAATAATCATTCTTTTCCTTTGAACCTGGACAGAGTAGTATAAAATATTAATCACATGTAACAGTTTATATGCTTCTCCGTCTAAGCTTACCTTAAGAAATGTATTAAAATATAAATTTGAATTGATTGTGCTATTTCATTTTGAACATTTTGAATATCCTTGTTCATTTGTTCCCTTTCCGTTTATTTAAACAGGATTCCTGCTATAGTTGAATCCTTAGGGGCCTATAATAATACAGACAATCCTTTTAAAATAAATGATGTCAACCTTTTAAACCACAGAGAGAAGTAACAGCCTCTGATCTGTTAAATGTTGAATATCAGGATCTATAAATTGTTCCATTTTATTTTTTCTATAGCTATTCCAGTATGTTGAAATTAAAAATAAACTTTGGCTGCTTTGACATGTTTTTCTGTAACTTTTAAGACCTTTCAAGGTAATAAAGTTTATTTACCTCACAAAATGAGATTGTCAGGAAATAGGTAGCCCACTGATGTCATCATACAATGGTGGTACCCACATAATTTTGTCTGCATTTCTACTTGAAGATGACAGGTTTTAAGGAAGTACATGAGTGCTTTTTAGAATCTTCTTACTGCTGTGAACAGAATTCAGAAGGGACTCAAATCTTGGTCTTCTTGTCTTAATCCTTGTCTTAATCTAAGTTGGTCCTTCATTTTGGAGATGACACTGTCATTTTTATTTTAGACGGACTTGCCCTTTGTATCAGAACTTTGGTTTGAGTGATTTTGAGAGCTGTTTGTTATGTGACCTTTGTCACATGGCTGTAGCCATTGTATTTACTTGACAGTCAAGGGGACCTGAACAAAGCAATGGAGCATGTATATCATGGTCATCTGTATTGCTTCTTTAGAAAGGAGTTGCTGTGTAAATACCGGAAAAGACAATGAATATACTAACTTGATGGAAATAGTAAAGACTTTAAAGGATTATTATTGTTCAATCACCAAGTAGGGTCCAGCTCTTCACAACCCCATGGACTGCAGCATGCCTGGCTTCTCTGTTCCTCACCATCTCTGGGAATTTGCCCAAGTTCACGTCCAGTGAATTGGTGATGCCATCCAAACATCTCATCCTCTGTCACCCTCTTCTCCTTCTGCCTTCAGTCTTTCCTAGCATCAGGGTCTTTTCCAGTGAGTCAGCTGTTTGCATCAGATGACCAAAATATTGGAGCTTCAGCTTCTACATCAGGCCTTTCAAGGAGTATTTAGGATTGACTTCCTTTAAGATTGACTGGTTTGATCTCCTTGCTTGCCAAGGGACTCTCAACTTGATAGAGATAGTAAAGACTTCAGTACTCCATACTGAGACTTTGCTACTTACATACTAAGGTGATGGAGATGGTAAAGACTTTAAAGAGTTATTAATTTTTTTTAAATTTTATTTTTAAAGTTATTAATTTTTTTAAATTTTATCTTAAATTCATATGTGTCCTGTGGCTATAGAAGGACACATATGAATCCTGTGGCTTTCTTTGTTCAGGATTTAAGAATGCTTTCTTGAATTTTTGTTTTCAAACTGTTGTCAGGAAAATAAAATAAATATAGTGTCATGGTCTAGTTTCTCATACTACTTTACGGAAAATTCTAGGTTATGCAGCTCTGAAGACTTCCAGATCACCTGTCATTATCATGGTACAGTGTGGCACTGGGAAGTCAGTAGGAGAAGGCACTTAACTCTTATCAGCCTTTAAAATATTTCTTTGTATAAGACTCTATTGCATATGCCAGGGGCCACTAAATATTTTTTAAGATACAGAATCTGTCATCAGTTTCTTTATAACTTCTGAAGGGAGCTAGGAGTAAGTTGTGAAACAGTGACGAGCCAGGTAACATTATCAGCAGAAGTCATGAGAGGGTCGTACCTGTTCTGGGACGTCAGAGAAGAAAGATTTTACGGTTTAAGAGTTCCTGGTAGAGATAGAGTGTCCCTGTGTTTGAAGTGTGGGTAGAATCAGGGAGGGTGGAGGCAGGAAGGTATTCTGGACAGTACTACAGCATGAGCAATAGCACAAAGTGGGGTAGGGGAGTCCAGCTGACTAGAGTGTGAATGTGTTAACTGGAGACAGTGGAAGTTGAACCAGAAACCTAGGGCCACGGAGAGTGTTTTCAAATAGAGGGAACTGTTGTTGTTTTTGTTAATATCCGTGGGGCATGGTGAAGGTAGTTTAAAGAAGAAAACTTTAGGATGATTATATTGATCAATAAGGTGTTTGTTTTTAGAGTTAGAGAAGCTGGGTAAAAGGTATCTGGTGATTGAGTCCAGACAGGGGCTGGTTAGTAGTGCAGAACAATTATAAGAAGTATTTTATAGGAAAAAAATCGACACGGCCTGGTGACTAAGTGAGCATAGGTGTTTGAAATGGGGGAATGTGACCTAGGCTTGGCTCTAGATCTGCAGACCACAAATTAAACACAAAGTGCCAGTAATAGTTTTAGGTAGAGCCTGTGTTCACTGGTTTGGTTACAACCTCACCACTTTTTCCTTATTTTTCTTCTATTCAGGTGATCCAAACTGTAGCCCAAATGCCTGAAATGTTGATAATGCCTTAAATTGAGATAGAGAAATCACTTACTTAGTGCAATAGCTTCAGTTTTACACATGTTCAGTTATAAATGACAGTTTCTTGAAAAGGGGATCTACTGCTTGAAAACTGGGTAGATGAATATAAAAGCAGACCACCATAAGTATTATGTCCAAGAATGGAAGTGCTAACAGTATAGTGCAAACAAGACAGATAAACTCTCTGTTCTCATGAAGCTTACCTTCTAGGTGGTTGAATATTTCTTTCTAGACATAGTGTAAAGGAAAATAATAAGCCCTGTGATTTGAGATTTGTGAAGTACCATCAGTTAAGGATGTTGAGAAGTTTCATGTGGTTTTTAAAAGGTCAAACAGTGTGAGAGAGTAGAGTAAGCTTAGTAGAAAGAATTCTGGCATTGGAGCCCAGAATCCCTGATTCTGATTTCAACTCTTCAGTCAACTAATTGTATCACCATGTGCAATATACAACCACCTCTAAGTTTTACTGTTGATAAAACAAGCAAGTTTCAAACTGTATATCATGATCCTTTTGAAATCAATTTTAAGGCTCACAATCTAGCCTTTGTTACTTAAAGAAAAATGAAATAGAATAACAAATATTAACATATTATTCATAGAATATTGTTTTGTGAAACTTTTTTCAGCATTATGTGTCTGTATGCACACATGGGCTCTGTGTAACAAGTAATGATATAAATGCATGTCAGTATGGCCTGTTCAGTAATAATTGAAAACATTGGATTAGACAACCTCTAAAATCTAATCCAGGTCATTGTTTATATAATTATATGAGTTGTATAAGCAGTGTGGGTTTAAGAATATATTTATATTTAAATTTTGTTAACTCTCTAAAAATCACAGTTTTATGATGGAAACATTGAAGATTTTATATGGAATTTCAAGAAATTAAGAAATTGGGTGGGAAAGGGAAAATTAATAAACTTATCTTTCAAAGTTATGTTAATGAGAAAAACTTCAGAGTTTTTTTTTCCCCCAGAATAAGAGAGCCTTATGTAATACCAAAAATATTACATAAATTTTTACAATATCTTTGTTCATGTGTTACTTGGTAGATTTGTGAGCTTATATGATTTCTGAAGATGTTAATGTTCTATGTACCTCATAAAGAATTAGGAGAAAATGCTCATTTTGATCCCAAAATTTTTAGAAAATCTAGGATATTTTACAAATTAAGGCATCCTTTTACTAATTTATCTTTTATAGAAGGTTTTGTGTATTGTTCCTTAATTTTCAGATTTTAAAAAAGTGATGATAAAATGTTTCATTACTCATTATTTTTGCAAATATGAATTAATCTTTTAATGGAAAGGCATAAATAAAATAAATCTGTGTTTCATTTCACACTTATATGAATGACTTAACTTATTTTTAAGGTATGTGATAGTGGAATGTGAAGATCAAGATACTCAGCAGAGAGATCCAAAGACCCATGAAATGTACTTGAATGTCATGAGACGGTTCAGCCAAGCATTGTTGAAGGTAACCATTTAATGTATGGATTGGCATGTACAGTGCATGGGCCCTGTCTGGCCCATTGCCTGTTTTGGTATGGTCTATGAGCTAAACATTGCTTTTTATTTTTAAATAATTGGGGAAAGTCACAAGAAAAATTATGTCAAATTCACAGATCAGCATTCATAAGTAATATTTTATTGGGACATAGTTATGCTCATTTGCTTTCATATTGTTTGTGGCCACTTTGACTATAATAGGAGTAAATAGCCAGAATGGAAATTCTGTAGTCAACAACACCTAAAGTAGTTAATCCTTGGCCCTTTATAGAAAGTTTGTTGACCCCTAAGTTAATGAAATAAACCTGTTGCTGGAACAAAAAACCCCCCAAATCTTTGCTCTTTTGTTTCACTCTCTGTTTTCTATTTTTATTTTTAAGACTAGGTACATTTACATAAATCTGGCAGTGGTTATATTGCAGATACTTTACATAACTTCTGTTTTTGCTTTTACATTTTCTAGAGATGTGTAAGCCTTTTTTACCTGGTGTTCTTGTGATTGTTAAGGCAATGTCTCAGTTCAGCCAGCAGAGGGTGCATGGGCAATGAAAAAAAATTGTCACAACATTACCTGATTTGCTGTAGAAATATTTTGCTTCATAGCATCTTTCTCTGCTGTTTCATGTTATTGAACTCTTTGAGACTAAACTTTTTTTATAGTTCTCAGAGCCCAAGATTCGCTATATCTAAACTGATTGGAAAATAAGCAGTTGGTCCTCTTTTAAATCTCAGTTCTGTCACTTATAGCTTTTGTCATCCTCTGAGGAAATTTTGATGTCTTTGAGAATAAATTTCAATCTTTTAAATAAGGGTATATAATTGCCAACCTGCTTCTTTCAGTGTAATTGGAGAAATTAAATGAGAAAATGTTATTTTATAATATTTTATGAACTGAGAATTATTACATAAGATTTCATAGCATTGGTTTTTATGGCTTTTATTTTACTAAGCTAGCATATCATATTGCTATTTGAGAACTTTTTTTTAAGGATTTAATTTGTTCCTTGAAGATGGTATTGTTTATACTATATGCCCAGAACATTTTTGAAGAAATTATAAGTGTCCAGATATTTATTAAATCAATAAGTGAATACACTTTGGGTCAATAAATTCTGTCTTGTCACACAGTTGCATGTGAAAAAAAACGTGCAATTTTTGATAGATTAGTATTCACTGACAACTCAAATAATTTTCAACTGTAGAAGAGTTGGTGGTGTTTAAGATAGCAGGCTTCTCATTATCTCTGAATCAAGAAATTATTTTTTTCAGTATTACTTTGTGTTGAAGTTTGTAGTTATTAAATAATAAATAAGGGTCACCCAAGGCTATTGAAGAAACCCTGATCATTATGCTTTATAGAATTAACTGTTCTTTCCTTCGAATTCCTTCAGGGTGATAAGTCTGTCCGAGTTATGCGTTCTCTGCTGGCTGCACAACAGACTTTTGTAGATCGGCTGGTGCACCTAATGAAGGCAGTGCAGCGTGAAAGTGGAAATCGTAAGAAAAAGGTAAACCTTCTGGCTCTGCTTTCGTTTTTAGCTTAGAGGTGGTGATTTAGTCACTAAGTCATACCCAGCTCTTTGTGATCCCATGGATTGAAGCTTGCCAGTCTCTTCTGTCCATTGGATTTCCCAGGCAAGAACACTGAATTGGGTTGCCATTTCCTTCTCTAGCAGATCTTCCTGATCAAACCTGGGTCTCCTGCATTGCAGGCAGATTAACAACATTAATCTCACTGTACATCTTCACCAGAACTCTTAGGTAACCAGTAGATCTCAACAGTGGGCTTAAAATATTCAGGAAGCCATGTTGTAAACAGATGTGTTACCATGCAGGCTTTGTTCTTCATTTAAGAGCAAGCAATTGATTTAGCATAACTCTTGAGGGCCTTAGGATTTTTGGAATGGTAGATAAGTGTTGGCTTCAACTTCAGCCCCTAACCAGAGCATCAGTATGCCCTTTGAAGCCTTGAAGCCAGGCACTGACTTCTCCTTTTGAGCTATGAAAGTCCTAGATGGCATCTTCTTGCAATAAAAGGCTATGTCATCTGCAATGAAAAATCTGTTGTTTAGTGTAGTAGCAACTTTTGTTAATTATTTTTGCCAGATTCTCTGGATAACCTTGCTGCATCTTCTACATCCACTTGCTGCTTCATGCACTTTCATGCTATGGAGATGACTTCTTTCCTTAAACCTCATGAACTGACCTCTGTTAGCTTCAAATTTTTCTTCTGCAGTTTTCTCACCTCTTTCAGCCTTCACAGCCTTGAAGAGACTTAGGGCCTTGCTCTGGATTAAGCTTTGGACTAAGGGAATGTTGTGGCTGGTTTGATCTTCTATCTGGACCACTAAAACTGTCTCCATATCAGCAATGAGCTTGTTTCGCTTTCTTATCATTTCTGTGTTCCATAATTCCCTTCAAGAATTTTTCCTTTGTGTTCACAGTTTGGCTGTCTTTTTGGCATAAGAGGCCTAGCTTTTGGCCTGTCTTGGCTTTCATCATGCGTTCCTCACTAGCTTAATTATCTCTAACTTTTTATTTAAAGTGAGAGGCATGCACCTCTTCATTCACTTAGACACATAGAGGCCATTGTAGGGTTGTAAGTTGGCCTAATTTCAACATTGTTGTGTCTCAGGGAATAGCAGAAGGAAGAAGAAGGACAGCTGGTCAGTGGGGTAGTCAAAACACTAGTAACATTTTATTGATTAGGTTCTGCATTTTATATAGGCTTGGTTTATGATGCCTCAAATCAATTGCAATAATAACATCAAAGATCACTGATCACAGATCATCTTAAGTATAATAATAGAAAGTTTGGAATATTGCAAAAATTAGCAAAATGTGACATAGAGACATAAAGTGAGCAAGTGCTATTGAAAAATTGGCACCAATAGTTTTGCCTGATGCAGGGTTGCCATAGGCCTTCAATTTGTAAAAAATGCAATACCTGCAAAGCATACCAAAGTGAAGTGCAATTAAATGAAGTGTGCCTGTTATAGGAATAGGAGTGGTTAGATCCTGTACTGATTATTTCTCTCACACATACTATCTCTTTTATGTTATGTTCCTTCACATAGACTTTTTTATGGTGCTTTGCAAATGTTTTAAAGTTAATGGACTCGGTCTTTTACGTCCTTACCATATGCTTTAAAAGCCACTTTTACATTTTAACCTAATTAGTACTTTATAACTTGTTCCCCTAGAATGAGAGACTACAGGCATTGCTTGGAGACAATGAAAAGATGAACTTGTCCGATGTGGAACTTATCCCACTACCTTTAGAACCTCAAGTGAAAATTAGAGGAATAATTCCAGAAACAGCTACATTGTTTAAGGTAATTATGGTGGATCTTTGATATCTATGACTGGAGCTGATTCTTTAAAGCTGGATCAGAGACTACCTTTGGGAAAAAAGATGCCTTTTATTTATCAGTGTGTTTTAAGATCTTTTTGTTTTGTTTTGTTTTAAGATCTTTTTGTAATACTTGTGGACATTTTTATGTGAAATGTATGAAGTATTTTTATGTCACTGGATTTTTTAATATTTAATTCTTTGAACTATTTATTAATCAGAGCCACACCTGTCTTTTCCCATATAAGCTTAAAAAAAAAATTGAAATGCAAACTTAAGCTTTACTTTATAAGTTCCTGTGGTTAGATAAGAATTCCAGTTACCCTTTTATAAAATTTTTCAATTTGGTAACTGTTCCTATGACTTAAATATTTTCTCATCTTTTTAAGTGGTTTATTCTCTTTAGTCTGTAACAGCATGTGTCTGCCTTTCATTTGGCTGGCCACCACTTGGATAGTTAGAAAGGATTGGAGGCAGCTGCCTTCTCTAAGGAGACCAAAGGGCTGAGATCATTCCTTGTGAAGCTTCATTGAGACATGATATTGTAGGTCATCTGATTCTAGGGTTGGAAAAGGGGGAAGTTGCATTGGAATATTACTTTCTACTGGGTAAAACAGGGCTCATAGATCTCTCCTTTGGATATATTTTATAAAGGATATGATTACAATAAGAAATAGTTCAGATTTTTTTAAAGGGTGTGTTTTGAAAGGCAGCCTGTGGCAGCTCAGCATGCACAACTACAATATGTTTCAAAAAGCAGTGCTTTAACCTTACTGCATGTTATGGACTGATAGTGTCTATTCTAAAAATTATTCTGTTGCATCAGTTTTTAAATGTTGTTTGCAACCTGTTTAGTTGGTTTTAAGACTCACTGAGTTATAAACCTGCAATTTAAAAAATGCTGCTTATAGGAGAGTGAATGCAAGTATTTCTTAGTTCATGTTAGAACTCCCAAATAAGATCTGCTTCTAATACTCTCATTCCCTTAGGACTAACCAAGAACAGTGTTTTATCATTTTTTAGCAAACAGGATGAAAAAGAATATTTAAGACATAGAGCTGGAGTTGTAAGAGTATGGTGTGAGAATCTGCCGCCATTGTTAAGTAGATTCTGGATCCATTTTTTTCCTTAAATAGTTTTATAATTATGTCATATATACAAAGTACAGATGGTCAGTAAGATATCATGTGATATCATTTTGATCCTAATGTTCAATTCTGAATTTTTTCTTCTAACCTTTATTAAATAAGTGGACATTCTTGCAAATTCTGAATTGGAGTTTAGGACTAATGGTTCTAGGGCATTTACTGCATAACTCTAGGATTATAATTCCTAACCATTTGGGGGTCATGAGTTTAAGAGTCCAGTGAAAGTGATGGATTGGATATTTTAGAAAGTCACCCATAATGCTTGTTCAGTTTAGTTCAGTTCAGTCACTCAGTCGTGGCCGACTCTTTGCAACCCCATGAATTGCAGCACACCAAGCCTCCCTGTCCATCACCAACTCCTGGAGTTTACTCAAACTCATGTCCATTGAGTCGGTGACACCATCCAGCCATCTCATCCTCTGTCGTCCCCTTCTCCTCCTGCCCCCAATCCCTCCCAGCATCAAGGTGTTTTCCAATGAGTCAGCTCTTCGCATGAGGTGGCCAAAGTATTGGAATTTCAGCTTCAACATCAGTCCCTCCAATGAACACCCAGGACTGATCTCCTTTAGGATGGACTGGTTAGATCTCCTTGCAGTTCAAGGGACTCTCAAGAGTCTTCTCCAACACCACAGTTCAAAAGCATCAATTCTTTGGCGCTCAGCTTTCTTCACAGTCCAGTTCTGGTCACATCCAAACATGACCACTGGAAAAACCATAGCCTTGACTAGATGGACCTTTGTTGGCAAAGTAATGTCTCTGCTTTTTAATATGCTGTCTAGGTTGGTCATAACTTTCCTTCCAAGGAGTAAGTGTCTTTTAATTTCATGGCTGCAATCACCATCTGCAGTGATTTTGGAGCCCAAAAAATAAATGCTTATACATATACTGAAATGTCTACACAGAGTTGTAGCAGAATCCATGAATTCTTGTTGCCCTTCTATGAACTCCTTAGAGCTGAAAGGGTTATGGACTTAGTTTCCAGTATTTTTAAACAATATTTCATTAGACCCTAGCTTAAAAACACTCCCTCACTCCGTGGGGAGTGAGCCCATTAAGGCACTGGGATTAGTGCCTAGTTATCCTTAGATTGTCATATGTTTACACCAGATTTCAGATGTACTCTAAATTTCAAAATCAGATCCAAATCGGAATAGGGAAGTTACAACAAAGAACATCTTGCTTATCATTTATCTTTAGGAATTTTGCTTCCAGTTGTTTTCTTGAGCGTTTGTGAGTAGGGTACAGGGATAAAATATATTTACCCTGAGGTGATCAAAGAATACTACAAATATTTGAAGTTTTAATTCACTAGAGGTTGTAATTTCTAAACTTATGTTCTTTGAAGGATTTTTGATGCTTTTCCCCTAACATTTTACAGTGAAGTTTTCAAACATACAGCAGAGTTGAAAGGCTTTCACAGGAAACAACTATATACTCACTACTTCAATTCTGTTAGTAACATTTTACTGTACTTTTTTTGTCACACATCTGTTCATCCCTCTGTCTGATACTTTTTATGCTATTATTTCTCATGGTCTTTAGAAATTAATGTTATTATTTTCTTTGTCAGATTCATTTCTTTTCTTTAGATTATTACAGGTTTCTCCACATTTCCATCTTATATAATTTGAAAATAATATTTTTATTTCCAGAGTGCTCTTATGCCTGCACAGTTATTCTTTAAGACTGAAGACGGAGGCAAATATCCAGTTATATTTAAGCATGGGGATGATTTACGCCAAGATCAACTTATTCTCCAAATCATTTCACTCATGGACAAGGTGAGCATAACCTTATGTTGGTAGGGAATATGTTTTCATTTCAGAAATCAATTGTTTAGTCGATATGGTATGCATGGATACAGAATTATGTGTACCCATAATTATATAACATTCAGGTACAGTCCTAGAGAGCTAAACAATCTCCACTTGATCTTGAACAAATGTAGTTGTTATTGTATTACTGCAGATGGCTCTTAAGATGAGTATAAAATGAAACTGCATGTGTTCCTTTTTATAAAAACGTTTTCACAGTTCCTTCAGTGTTGGATTTAGTAATTTTCTTCCTCAGTCAATTAAATCTTCTTTCTTAAATCCTGTTTCTGTCCATGGATTTTAAAGAAACATTTGTCTTCATTTCCTTATTTGGAGTTCTAAAATACTTCATGACCAGTAAGGCCTGCATAAATCCTTAGGAACCCTCTGTCAGTGAAAACTGACAGTGATTTAGAAAAAGATAAAGAGATGTATTAAACTGCTATAATACTTACTGCAAAACTATTTCATAACATTCTTTTCATTTGTTTAATGTGACTTTTGATCTCAAGCTGCTACGAAAAGAAAACCTGGATTTGAAGTTGACGCCCTACAAAGTATTAGCAACTAGTACAAAGCATGGTAAGTTTATTTTTTAACATAATTATTTATCTCAGTGTCCAATGAGTATAATTTTTCCTTTTTAAATTGGAACTTGTTAAGAATGTTAGGGATTGAACTCATTTGTAACACTGAAGGCCAGTCGGCCTTCTTGGCTACCTGTCTACCTTCCCTCCCTTCCTTTGTTTTTATACCTCTTGAAATCATTAAACAGCGTATTTGGGAGAAAAAGGAGAACCTTTATGATATATTTCTTTGGATTCAAAACTATTTCCAAACCACAGTAGTTTTCTTCCGTGGCAATCTGTATCTGGAATCATTATTGTTTTTGTTACTGTTCAGTTGCTAAGTCATGTTCAACTCTTTGCAACCTCATTCACTGCAGCATACCAGGCTCCTCAGTCCTCCACCATGTCCTGGAATTGGCTCAGATTTGTGTCTATTGAGTCTGTGATGCTGTCCAACCATCTCATCCTCTGCCGCACCCTTCTCCTTTTGCTTTCAGTTTTTTCCTAGCGTCAGTGTCTTTTCCAGTGAGCTGGCTCTTCACATGAAGTAGCCGAAGTATTGGAGTTTCAGCATCAGTCCTCCCAATGAATATTCAGGGTTGATTACCATTAGGATTGGCTGGTTTGAGTCTCTCTACAGCCCAAGGGATTCTCAAGAATCTTCTCCAACACCACAATTCGAAAGCATCAATTCTTCGACACTCAGCCTTCTTTGTGGTCCAGCTCACATCCATACATGACTACTGGAAAAACCAGTTTTGTGTATATAGACTTTTGTCTTTGATGTCTCTGCTTTTTATTATGCTGTCAAGATTTGTCATAAATTTCCTTCCAAACAGCAAACAACTTTTAATTTCATGGGTGCAGTCACCATCTGCATTGATTTTGGAGCCCAAGAAAATAAAAACTGTCACTGCTTCAACTTTTTTCCCCTTCTGTTTACCATGATGTGATAGGACCGGATGCCATGATCTTAGTTATTTGAGTGTTGAGTTTCAAGTCACTTTTTTCACTGTCTTTAACCCTAATCAAGAGGCTTTTTAGTTCCTCCTCACTTTCTGCCTTTACAGTTGTATCATCTGCATATCTAAGGCTGTTGATATTTCTTCTGGCAATCTTGATTTCAGCTTGTGATTCATCCAGCTTGGCATTTCGCATGATGTACTCTGCATATAATCATTATTGAGAGTTACTAAAACCTAGAGAGGCTTTCTATTGTACCCTGCTTATGCAAACCGCTCATCAGATGATGTTGCTTTTATTCATTGATTTTTTTTTTTTAATATATATGTCTAAATCTTTCTGAGATTGAGTAACCCCTGGAAGTTGACAGAAAATTCCCTCAGATGCTTGCCTAATGTGTATTGTAAATTTTTTAATCTTTTTACTCTTAGAGCTTCTTACCCTTAGTTTAGGTACCTTGGAGAAACAAGTACCTGTTTTATTTTAGGCGTTCTGCCCTTCTTGTTACTCCCAAATCTTTCCAGTGGTTTAATTCCTTATATGTTCTATTACTATCCTACATAAATTGATTTACTTAGCTTTCACTTGCTCCTTATTTGTCAATTCTTTGGCACTTTGTCCAAATAAGACAAAAGCCTTAGCTTAGTTTACAAGTTCTTGTGTGGTATAACATACCTCCACACCTCTCTATAACACCTCTTTTTTCCACTCTCCTTGCTTCTTAGACTTTAGCCGCACCAGCCACCTTCCATTTTCGCAAATGTACCATGCTCTTTTTAGCCGTATATTATTGTTATCTTTAATATCCTTTCTGCTTTATTTATGCATCTTTATTATCCTTCAAAACACAGTTCAGATGTCAGAGATCCTCTGATCCCTATTGTAATATAGGTCTCCCTTTACTATTCCTTTTCATAGTGTCCTTTCATTCATAGTTTTATGCCAATAAAACTTGCAGACTTGTGAGATCTTTGAAAGCAGGTCAAAGCTCTGTTTTTGCTTATCTGCAAAATTTTTGCTACCTAGTAGAAAAACTACAAATATATGTTAAGTGCATTGATGCAGACTGTTCAGTATTTACCATATGGGAATAGATGAGATGTTTCTTACTCTAAAGTAATGCACAGTCTCCTAATTTGCATGCAAATAATTATAATGTGTCATTGTTTAGTTGCTTAGTCATGTCCAACTCTTTGCAACCCCACGGACTGTAGCCTGCTGGCTCCTCTGTCCATGGGATTTCCCAGATAAGACTACTGGAGAGATTTGCCATTTTCTTCACCAGAGGATCTTCCTGGCCCAGGGATTGAATTTGTGTCTCTTGCATTGGCAGACAGATTCTTTACCACTGAGCCACAGGGGAAGTCCAGTTATAATGTAAGGCTTACCAAAACCAGTTTGGACTGGTTCCAAATTGGGAAAGGAGTGTGTCAAGGCTATATTTTGTCATCCTGTTTACTTAACTTACATGCACAGTACATCATGGGAAATGCTGGGCTGGATGAAGCACAAGCTGGAATCAGAGTTGTGTATGATTCTGAAATACTTCCATCATTCAACTTTGATTTTTTTTTCACAGATTTGTAGTTTTATACTTCTTTTGTTGTCCCTGGACTTACCAGACTTACTTTTTCTCCTTATTCTCCTGTATACTATCCTCCTCCCCTTCTTTTTGGTAGTCGAGGTAGGGGATTTATACTTTGCCCTCATATCATTTCCAGGGAATGGCAGAAGATAGAGTATTACACAAAGAAAGCCAATGAATATACTGTAATTTTCAAGTTAGGTGATTGATATTCTGAAATGCCATAATTTCAGATTTCTTAAAGTGATTTTACATTTAGAATTTTAATTGCCATATTATAAAACTTCAGAAAGAAATTTTTATGCCAAATTTAAGAAGCCTTACCCTGTTGCTGATCTGATAAACACAGTGCCTGAAGAACTATGGACACAGGTTTATGACATTGTACATGAAGCAGTGATCAAGACCATCCCCAAGAAAAACAAATGCAAAAAGGCAAAATGGTTGTTGAGGAGGCCTTACAAATAGCTGAGAAAAGAAAAGAAGTGAAAGGCAAAGGAGAAAGGAAAGATATACCCATCTGAATGCAGAGTTCCAAAGAATAGCCAGGAAAGGTAAGAAAGTCTTCCTCAGTGACCAGTACAAAGAAATAGAGGAAAATAATAGAATGGGAAGGACTAGAGATCTCTTCAGGAAAATTAGAGATACCAAGGGAACATTTCATGCAAAGATGGGCACAATAAATGACAGAAATGGTATGGACCTAACAGAAGCAAAATATATTAAGAAGAGATGGCAAGAATACACAGAAGAACTACACAAAAAAGATCTTAATGACCCAGATAACCACTTTGGTGTAATCACTCACCTAAAGCCAGACATCCTGGAATGCGAGCGAAGTCAAGTGGGCCTTAGGAAGCATCACTACAAACAAAGCTATTAGAGGTGATGGAATTCTAGCTGAGCTATTTCAAGTCCTGAAATATGATGCTGTGAAAGTGCTACACTCAGTATGCCAGCAAATTTGGAAAACTCAGCAGTGATCACAGGACTGGAAAAGGTCAGTTTTCATTCCAATCCCAAAGAAAAGCAATGCCAAAGAATGTTCAGACTACCACAGAATATTGCACTCATCTCACATGCTAGCAAAGTAATGCTCAAAATTCCCCAAGTGAGGCTTCAATAGTATATGAACTGAGACCTTCCTGATGTTCAGGCTGGGTTTAAAAAAGGCAGAGGAACCAAAGATCAAATTGCCAAAATCCGTTGGATCATAGAAAAGGCAGGAGAGTTCCAGAAAAATATCTATTTCTGCTTTATTGACTATGCCAGAGCCTTTGACAATGTGGTTCACAACAAACTGGAAAATTCTTAAAGAGATGGGAATATGAGACCATCTTACCTGCCTCTTGAGAAATCTGTATACAGGTCAAAAAGAAGCAGTCAGAACCAGACATGGAACAATGGACTGGTTCCAAATTGGGAAAGGAGTGTGTCAAGGCTGTATTTTGTCATCCTGTTTACTTACATGCACAGTACATCATGGGAAATGCTGGGCTGGATGAAGCACAAGCTGGAATCAAGATTGCAGGGAGAAATATCAATAACCTCAAATGTGCAGATGATACCACCCTTCTGGCAGAAAGTGAAGAGGAACTAAAGAGCCTTTTGATTGAAGTGAAAGAGGAAAATGAAAAATCTGGCTTACATTCAACAAACAAAGATCATGGGATCCAGTCCCATCACTTCATGGCAAATAGATGGGGAAACAATGGAAGCAGTGAGAGACTGTATTTTTTTGGGCTCCAAAATCACTGCAGATGGTAACTGCAGCCATGAAATTAAAAGACGCTTGCTTCTTGGCAGAAAAACTATGACCAACCTAGACAGCATATTAAAAAGCAAACGTTACTTTGCTGACAGAGGTCCATCTAGTCAAAGCTATAGTTTTTCCAGTAGTCATTTATGTACGTGAGAGTTGGACTATAAAGAAAGCTAAGCACCAAAGAATTGATGCTTTTGAAATGTGGTGTCGGAGAAGACTCCTCAGAGTCCCCTGGACTGCAAGGATATCAAACCAGTCAATCCTAAAGGAAAGCAGTCCTTAATATTCATTGGAAGGACTGATGCTGAAGCTGAAACGCCAGTACTTTGGCCGCAAAGAACTGACTCACTGGAAAAGACCCTGATGCTGGGAAAGATTGAAGGCAGGAGGAGAAGGGGATGACAGAGGGCAAGATGGTTGGATGGCATACCTACTCAATGGACATGAGTTTAAGCAAGCTGTGGCAGTTGGTGAGGGACAGGGACGCCTGGCGTGCTGCAGTCCATGGGGTTGCAAAGAGTTGGACATGACTGAGTGAAAACTGAACTGAACCTTATTACTTTGTGTTCCTGTATATAATAATAGAAATTGGCCTAGAGAAACATACATATTTTTATGTGTGTTTAATTAATTTCAGCTTAATTTTTAAAAAATGTTTCTATGTAGTTTCTATGATGTAAATGCCAATATATACTAAATACAATGTTTATAGACCTCTTTAAGCTATTAAGTTTGTATTGTATACATTTGCAAATGAAGACTATTCTTAACAGAATCTATATTGCTTAACCAATATTGTTGTTTTGTCACTCAGTCATGTCTGACTCTGCGATCCCATAGACTGCAGCATACCAGCCTCCTCTGTTCTCCACTATCTCAGAGTTTGCTCAAATTCATGTCTATTGAGTCAGTGATGCTATCTAACCATATTATCTCTGCTGCCTCCTTCTCCTGCCTTCAGTGTTTCCCAGCATCAAGGTCTTTTCCAACTGAGTGGGCTCTTCACATCAGATGGCCAAAGTGTTTGAGCTTCAGTTTCAGCAAGTCCTTTCAATGGCTTAACCAAAAGCTGTGCTTAATACAATGTATCTGTTTCTGTGTAGGCTTCATGCAGTTTATCCAGTCAGTTCCTGTTGCTGAAGTTCTTGATACAGAAGGAAGCATTCAGGTACAGTATCTATTTTAATGATTTATGAATTTCATGAATATGTCTTGTTAGAAAAATTTCAGTCTCTATAAAAAGTACATAGAGTTAGAAATGAAACTCTCTTTTTCTCACTTTTCTTCCCTCAAGTTTTTTTTTTTTTCCCAGAGAAGTAGACAATGCTAACAGTTGGAAATGTTTCCAAGGTAGATGTTCAGTTCCTTAAACCTTGCCTGGCATATAATAGGAGATCAGGAATTAATCGGCAAACAGAATATAAATTTTCTGACGTTTATGGTTACATTATATTGCAAAGTATGGAAATATTATGATTTATGTAGCCATCAGTGAACGTTCTGATTATTTCCAGTTTTCGTTGTTATTCAGAACAAGGCTACAGTGATATTCTTGTCATACATGTTTTACATAATTATGTTTTTTAAGACTCTTTTCCCCACCCCACCCCCAAATCATCACTGTCCTTTAAGATAAGAAAAGGCAAGTTGTACTAAGCCATATATAGCTTTGGAATTGTTTTTACATTTTAAAATAGTGAATTAGTATTTATTGCAAAATTTTTACTGCATGTTAATAGTTTACTTTTGTTATCTTTTGAATGTAATTTTTCTTTTTTTCTATGAAAAAGATATGTAATTCATACAGAAAAAATTGATATGCCTGAGATGAAAAATCATACAGTGAAGGGCTTGATAAAGGATATTTACTATAGTATATTTTTGTGTTTCTCAGTTTAGAGTGCCCCAGTAATTCATTGTGGAGTTTAAACTTTCAGAAAGACTTTACTCTGATTTCTTAACAAAACAAGAGGTTGATTCTATTGTTTGGTTCAAGGTGCAATCGTGCTCGGTTACTTAAAAGTTCAGACACAAAACAGCAAACTGCCAGAGTTTGAAGTTTGGCTCTGTGGCTTTCTATCTCTATTTTGAGTAACCTTTGAGTAACAGGTTAACCTTTCGCTGGTATCTGGCTTTCAGTAGGAACTCATAAGGGTGGTTCACATACCTAGACTCTTTGTACAAATAATATGATTTATAGGAAAGAGCCTGCCTTCCTTCTAGAATTTTGATAGTTGCTGGACTAAACAGACTGTAGAGGGTGCCTGTATGGCAGACCCCAGGAAATAAGCTCAGTGTATTCCTTCACAGAAGACAGCAGGAGGATTCACATGTAATTCACAGGCTTTGCCTGTGTGTCTTCTCCATGTTGATCCTGTTGCGTTTACTTCTGCTGTAATACACCTTACTAGTAGTATAGCTGTAAGTTGAGTTTGTGACGCCATCTAACAGATCAAATGTGTCAGGGGGCTTGGGGACCTCCTAACATACCCTTTAAGTCTCAGTTTTTGTATCTGTAAAATTGGGCTAATAAGAGTACTTAGCTATAGAATTCTTCTGAAGATGAGGTGAAATGTATACAGAGCTTTAACACAGGTTCTAACTGAAGTAATTGTCTAATAAAGTTGTCAATTATTATGTTGTTCTGTGCAATTATGATTTTGTAAAATAAAGACAATGACAGTTTGTGTCCTGGTTCGTAGTTCCATGTGTGATCTGTGTAAATAATTTTGCCAAGTTGTAGCTTATCTCATCTTCAGCTTTAGTAGATAGTTAAAAATTGTTTACCAAAGTGATTATTTTTTAAAACAGCTGTTTTTCTTTGCTACTCATCTTTGCTTAATTTTGGTATTGTCGAGCTTCTAAATTTTGGTATCTATTATTGTTTAGTTTGCATTTCTCTGATCACCAAAAACATTGAGTGAAATATGTGTATAGGCCATTTTTTCTTCTGTGAAGTGCTTGTTCATATATTTTGCCCATTTTTCTCTTGGATTTTTTGGTTTTTTTCTTATTGGTTTATAGAAGTTCTTTATATTTTCTAGATATACATTCTTTTTCACTTACAGAATGTTCAAAAAGCTTAAAACATAGGATAAATGTATTTTTTAATAGTGTGTTAGTTATATTTGCAGATATTATACTGTGTCTATTTTTCTTTAACATCTAGATGTAAAAGAATAGGCTAGTTGATAATCTGGGGAAAAGAAAGTATACAGTTTTCCCCAGTGTTTCCAGATTGTTTGGACACTCTAGTGTATTTATTGTGCCCTTGCAGTTCTTTGGTTCAGTCTGTATCTCATGTTTAATTTCCTCTTAATTTGAAAATTCTTAGCATTGCATTATAACTGTTTTGAATATTGGAATGTAATTTTATTGAGCTTGTTAATGGTAGCAGTATTTCAGTGGCTATGCTTTAAAGGTCATTTTAAAAATTCACGTTCACTTTTAGGAGAACGTATGATTCACAGAAAGCCCCTCATGTTTACTTTCAGGAGAAATGTGAAACAAGCTGGTACATTAAGTATGAGATATAGCAGTACATTTATTTAATGTTTTCCCCTGTGGTATAGAAGTAGCACACTTTTATTTATTTGTTTATTTCTTAGGCTCAGACTATAAGCATAGTAATATGACTGATTCCTGAGGAATATGCTTCCCCAATTCTGCATTTTATAAAGTTTTATACCAGATACCTATTTGTCATTATTTGCAATTTTGAAATGCCTAATTTGTTTAAAGGAGTGAATTTGTAAACATATAAACACCTTTTCAGAACTTTTTTAGAAAATATGCACCAAGTGAGAATGGGCCAAATGGAATCAGTGCTGAAGTTATGGACACTTACGTTAAAAGCTGTGGTGAGTTTTTCAGCTTACTGCTTTTCACTGATATGTGGGAATAAAGGAAAGCAAGCTATCTTGTTACCATATTCATACACATTTATAACATGTTAAGATTTTGGCTTAGATTTGTCCATTTTGGCAGCAATAACAAAATACCAGATACTGGGTGACTTATAAACAATAGAAATTCATTTCTCATAGTTCTGGAGGCTGGAAGTCTGAGATAAGGTGCCAGCTTGGTCAGGTGAGGGCCTTCTTTGGGTTAAAGACCTGTTATTGTATCTGCACCTGCTGGAACTGCTAGGCAGCTCTGTGAGGTCTTTTATAAGGTGCTGATTCCATACTTCGGAGCTAAGTACCTCCAAAAGGTCCCACCTCCTACCATATTCGTTCGAGGCATTTTCATTTTGAGGGGACAATACTTTTCAAGCCACAGCAGTTTTAAATGCCCTGAAGAAGACTAAAAGATAGAAAATGTGATAAAAGAAGTCATTAATGTTTTGACATAATGGTAGGAATGTGGGGAAATTCTGCTTAGTCTTTTATAGATATATCTTTGCAATCACTTAACTGTTTTGTAACTATAAGTTATCTCTTCCTGGAAGCTGTAATTTTTCCCTTGATTTTCCTAGAGTTTGAGTAAGTGATTAAGGGGTGGTGGTGGTTTAGTCACTAAGTCGTGTCTGACTCCTGCGAACCCATGGACTGTAGCCTGCTAGGCTTCTTTGTCCAAGCAATTAAGTAGATTGGGAAAAGTCTGTCAGGAATAATCATGTTTTTGATAAATCTCTAGACCTAAGATTACAGTGCTATGTTAAGAGGTACCTCTCATGGTATTTTAGATTAGTACTTATGGTCACTTACTGGAAATGTCAGTAGTGGCAAGCTGAAGAGATTAATTCAAATGTTTCAACCACTTATGCCTATTCTCATGAAGACTATATTTTTTATTTTCTTAAGGGTTTTTTTTTTTTTAGTGGCTAGATTGTTTAAGAGAGGGTTAATAAAGGAATTGACACTAGAGTTGAGCCCTGAATAGTATATGGCATATATCATGTTATTCCTGTTTTACATAAATATTAATGTTTACATCCATATTTATACTTACTTAAGCAATCAAAGCTGAGGGTAGCAAGTAGAGGATTTTCTAGACGTACAATAAATATTTATACTTTTGCATCATTTAATGGCTTATAAGTTGCTCTCTTATACATGATTCTTTTTTATTTTTCACAATGATCCTATGAGGTTTTAATCCAGATTATTTTGTACTGCATGATTTATTCCTAAACTTATATTTGGTACGTTTTTGACTGAGAAGTATAAAGAAAATGTAATATTCTTAGGAACTTTTAAAACACTGAAATAAAATGATGTATATATATTCAAATTCTTCATGGTTTTAATTCTTATTTTAAACTAAGAAACATAGCATTTTATAGGTAGCTGTGTTTACCCTTGAAAATGTGTTCAACCATAAAAATGATCACATACAGTGTATTTTGATTTAAAATTTTTTTTAAAATTGATTGAAACATCTAGAAGAGAATATTCCCCTTTTCTTACTCTATTTCTCTCTCCTCTCCTTCCCTCCCTGCTTTACTTCTTTATTTTTTCCCCTTTCTCTTCCAGCCATTTTTTTCTCCATTCATTCTATGTTCTCTAAGATCTGAAAAAATTAATATATCTTCTAAAGGCTTGATAGATCACTCACATGGCTGGCAGCTTATGCTGTTTTTCAGCCAAGCTTGTTAGTCAGGTCACTTGTACAGGCTTCCCCGTGGCTCGTGTTTCTCAGAGCTGGGTTTAAGAGGAATTCTAAGAGACAGGAAGAGAAACTTTTGGTTTCTGAAGGCCTGGATTGGGAAGCTGGTAGTTTGTTGCTTCTGTCATATTCTGTTGGTCAGATAAGTCACACAACCTTCCTGGATTCAAAGGAAAAAGGTAGTTCCTACTTGGAATGAAAAGCATGTAAAAGAATCTTTAATTAGCCACACCTAGTTTTCATTACTTTATTACTTGATATATTTTGCATGCCATCAGTCAATTACCTTCTGTCTTTTTACTTAACTTTCATTTAGTTACTGTAACTTTTTTATATCATATATATATTTAATAAAGAAATGTTAAGTTCTTTTAATTTTTATTTTTTTTAAATTATAAAAGTATGATAACATATTTATAGGCAACTTGGAAAATACAGAACAAGGTTACATAGAGTTCCACTATATATTATTTTTTAAGTAAATAAATTAATGTGTTTAGTTGGTTTCAGTATCAATTCTCAGAAATTAACAGAGTGAATATACACAGACATAGAAGGATATAGTAGACCTGAAAAGCACTGTGAACCACTTCAACATAATTAAGATTCATAAAATTTTCACACAACAGTAGGATACAAATTCTTTTCAAGTTCCCGTAGACTATAAACTAGGAGACACTAAAACATATCCAGGGACATAAGGCAAAGTGCAAAAATTTCTTGGTCTAAAGGTATTGAAATCATACAAAGGCTGTTTGTTTGTCACTGTGGAATTATGTTAGAAATCAGTATCAAAAGATATTTGAAAATAACCCACATATTTTCAAGTGCAGTGTGACATTTACCAAGAGAGATCTTTGAGTCATTGAAAACCTCAATAAAGTTAGCTTGAAAAAAAAAACAGAGGATGATTGCAGAGAAGAAAACAGTTAAATAAGAAATTAGTGTCAAAATGAGAAATTCATGTTAAAGATGCTTTTTAAAAAATCCCATGTATTTGGAGATTAACTGTCCACTTTTTAATGATGGGTGTACCTAAGAAGCTATAATAAGGAAAAATAGGAAATATTTGTACTAGAATGAAAATGAAGAGAATTTACCAGAATTTGTTGCATGTGATTGAAACTGCTCAATGCAATTAAATACAATGTGGAATCTTGAATAAGATATGAAAACAGATAATACTAGCATTAAATTTTGTGAAATTTGAACAAAATCTGTACTTTAGTTAATAATACTGTATCACTTGCTAACCTCCTTTTTTTTTTTTTTTACAACATAGTATTTCTTAATATTCTCAAAATTGGATTAGAAGTTTCAAGCCTCTTTCAAAATTTTTCTTTGTCACTAAAATAATAAATTTTTTCTAGATTTTTAGCAGTAATACTAGGTGCCAGAATACATGGAACTATTATCAGTTTTGAGTAAATATAAATTAGAAATCTAGCATTCTGTTTATACTAAATCAAACTAATGGATCAAATAAACCCAAGGAGGAACACACTCAAACACATAGTAATCAAAATGATGAAAATTAAAGACAAAACATTAAAAGCAACAAGGGAAAAGCAACCAGTAACATACAGGGGAACTCCCATAAGGTTATCAACTGATTTCTCAACAGAAACTCAACAAGCCAGAAGGGAATGGCATGATATATTTAAAGTGATGAAAGGGAAGAACCTATAACCAAGAATATTCTACCCAATTGTTCAGATTTGGTGGCGAAATCAAAAGCTTTCCAGACAAGCAAAAGTTCAAAGAATTCAGCACCACCAAACCAGCTTTACGATAAACACTAAAGGAAATTCTCTATTTGGTCAACAGAAAATAATAGAATTCTACATCTCTAAAACTACCATTTAATAAAAAAAAAAAACTTGTAATCACCTTTTAAAATCTACGTGCATGACAGAATTGTCTTGAAAGTTTTTGAAAAAAGCAAATGCTCAGGTATTGCTGTTCTCGAAAGCTCCAGGTGTGTTTCTAGTGAGCAGCCATGTTTAAAAACAACTGGACTGTATGATGATCTTTTACTTTTATTAATTTGTTACACTTTTTCTATTTCATATTTATTGCTCCCTTTTCATTTAGTTTATGTTTTCCAATTTCTCTGTCTTCTTTTGTTTTTTCTCAAGCCTGTATGAAGTGTAGCAGAAAAGCTTTTGCATACCTGTACACATAGTATGGTGTATGCTCTGTGCCTAGTCGCTCAGTTGTGTCCGACTCTTTGCAACCCCATGGACTGTAGCTCACCAGACTCCTCTGTCCATGGGGATTCTCCAGGCAAGAATACTGAAGTGAGTTGTCATGCCCTCCTCCAGGGCATCTTCCCAACCCAGGGATCAAACAAAGGTCTCCCAAATTGCAGGCAGATTCTTTACCGTCTGAGCCACCAGGGAAACCCTAGTATGTGTAATATAATATATATATTTTAGAAAATATATGAATTTTTGCCCAGCTAAGAAATGTTAATTTTTTTCTATTTGAAATATACATATAATCCATAAATATTGACTAAAATTTGAAAACCCTGCTCACTTAATGCAAGTATTGGAACAATATATGTGCTAAATGTCATAGTATCGTGTCTTTTATATAATGTTTCCTTTTTTCCCCAAGAGCTAATGAGAATGTAACTTTTCTAATGTTAAAAAAAAAAAGCTATTTAAATTGTACTTGTACAGTTAACGCCAGATTAGATCTTCTTTCTAATAAGAGCATTACACATTTATTCATATCCTGATAACTGATGTGATAACAGACCTTCTCTTTATCTTACTTTGAATACTCTTCTGCTTTCTATATATATTGCTACATTACAAAATAATTTTTTTGTGTTTCAATGAGTTTGGTAGCATTCCAGGTAATGTTAGAGGTTGAAAGCCATTATTTAAAGAGGAGTCAATGCGACATTGTACTAGAATTTGATTGTTGTGTGTTATCATATGGATACATGTATAACTTTCATTTTAAAAAGTAATATTTTAGGATTTTGGTAGAGGTTAAGAAGAAGAATACGATTAGTTATGGTGACATTTTATTCCAGATTATGCAGGTGTCAAGTCTGTATCACGAAAGTAAATGTGGGAACACTGATTATTCTCACACTCATATCTTTATTAAGGAAAGGGAAATGGTATTGTTTATTTGTCTATATTTCTCTATATTTTACTTTAAAGCAAAGTTGTTTTACAAAATCAGATTCAAGATGTTTATTTCATGTGGAGTCAAAATACTAATGAAAAGC